ATAGTATTTTAAGGCATAAAACATCATAGAAATGTCATTGTATAGTAAGGCATGAAAAGTCATAGTATAGTAATACACAACAAGTCACAGAAATGTCATAGTATAGTAAGGCATGAAAAGTCATAGTATAGTAATACATAACAAGTCATAAAAATGTAATAGTATAATAGGGCATAAAACGTCATAGTATAGTAAGGTATGAAAAGTCATAAGAACGTCATAGTATAGTAAGGCATAAAAAGTCATAAAAACGCCATAGTATACTAAGGCATAAAAAGTCATAAAGGCATCATAGTACACTATAGTATGGCATAATACATCATATTTGGTCATAAAAAGCCATACAAAGATCATAGTATTGTAAGGTCTAAAAAGTTATAAAAACGCTATAGTATACTAAGCCAGAAAAAGTGATAGTATAGTAAGGCATAAAAAGTCATAAAAATGTCATAGTATAGTAATGCATAAAAAACGTCATAGTATAGTAACGCATGCATCATCATAGTATATTAAGGCATTAAAAGTCATGAAAAGGTCATAGTATAGTAAGGCATGAAACGTAATAAAAATGTCAGTATAATAAGGTATACAAATCATAAAAATGTCATTGCATTCCAAGTATGGGATAAAACGTCATAGTCATAAAAAATCATAAAAACATTATAGAATTTTAAGGCATAAAAAATTCTAAAAACATTATAGTATTGTAAGGTCCAAAAAGTCATAAAAATGACATAGAATAGTAAGGCATAAAAAGTCATGAAAACGTCATAGTAAATTAAGGCATTAAAAGTCATAGTATAGTCAGGCATAAGAAATAATAAAAACATCATAGTATAGTAACGCATTAATTGTTATAGTATAGTAAGGCACAAAGAGTCATAAAAATATCATACTATAGTAAGGCATGAAAAGTCATAAGAATGTCAGTATATGAAAGCATAAAAAGTCATAGTATAGTAAGGCATAAAAAAATTGTAAAAATGTCATAGTATAGTAAGGTATAAAAAGTCATAAAACATCATAGTATTTTAAGGCATAAAAAGTCATAAAAATGTCATTGTATAGTAAGGCATAAAAAGTCATAGTATAATAAGGCATAAAAAGTCATAAAAATGTCATAGTAAAGTAAGGCATAAAAAGTCATAAAAAAACATCATTGTGTACTATAGTTTGGCATAATTAGTCACAAAAAGTCACAAAAATGAAGTAGTAAAATAAGTCATCAAAAGTCATGAAAACATCATAGTATAATGAGTAATAAAATGTCATAAAATTTATAGTATAGTAAGGTATGAAAAGTCATAAGAACTTCATAGTATATTAAGGCATATTATACAAATTCATAAACAGTCATAAAAAATTCATAGTTTATTATGTAATAAAATGCCATATAATATCATAGTATAATAAGTCATAAAAAGTCATAAAAACGTAACAATTTCATAAGTCATAAAAAGTCATAAAAACGTCATAATATAGTACCTCATAAAAACGCCATATTATACTACGGCATAAAACGTCATAGTATAGTAAGGCATGAAAAGTCCTAAGAATGTTAAGTATATTAAGACATAAGAAGTCATAGTATAGTAAGGCGTAAGAAGTCTTAGTATAGTCAGGCATAAAAAGTCCTAGTATAGTATCGTAACAATAGTAACGTACAATGTCATACTGGATCTGTTGTATGCAAATGTCAAGGAGGCCTACACAGTTTCACCACTTGGCAGATCAGATCATAATCTGTTTTTTCTTCAGCTTTTCTTATAAGCCCTGCTTACTGAGGCAGGCTGCAACCACCCGCTCATTCAGGAACTGGACCCCGGAGGCCAGTGAGTGTCTAAAACACTGTTTTGAGTGCACAGCCCGGAATGTACTGTTAGAGTCACAGGAAAATGATAAAAGCAAGGACCCTGACCTTGATGGAATGGTTGAAAGTACCACAGAATATATTAACTTCTGTATGGATACTGTAATACCAGCAAGGACTGCACACTGCTTTCCAAACAACAAACCCTGGATCACCAGTAACATCAAGATCCTCCTCAACCAGAAAAAGGAGGCCTTCAGCAATGGAGACAGGGAGAAGCTACAACATGAGCTGAAGAGGAGATTAAAGCAGGCGAAGGAAGACTAAAAGAAAGTGGAGAGGAAGCTGCAGCACCACAACAGAGAGGTGTGGAAGGGGATGAGGACCATCACTGGCTATAAAGAGAAGAACAGCCAGGCAACATCAGGTGATATGGACAAAGCCAATGAGTTCAACCTGTTCTACAACAGGTCTGACACAGCCTCACCTGTTCTCTCTCCCACTGCTTCAACTGCAGCTTCTCCTATGGCATCTCCTCCACAACCTGACACTGCAGCTGCAACTCCCTCCACACTGGGGTCAAGTCTCCTGTCCTTTAAAGCAGAGGAGGTGAGGGCGGAGCTCAAAAGGCTACGCCCTGGAAAGGCAACAGGCCCGGATGGTGTATGTCCAAGGCTGTTAAAGGACTGTGCAGCCCAGCTGGCTGAGCCTCTCCAGAGGATCTTTAACTTTCCTGTGGAAAACAGCATGTCTTGTTCTGGTACCTAAAGTAGGACAACCGGATGAAATAAATGACTACAGACTGGTGGCCCTCACATCACATATCATGAAGACCCTGGAGCAGCTGCTTCTCCACCTTCTTAAGCCACAAGTTGAACATGCACGAGACCCCCTACAGTTTGCCTACAAAGAACATATTGGAGTGGATGATGCCGTCCTTTACATGCTCCACCGGGCCCATGAGGATTATGTTCTTTGATTTCTCAAGTGCATTTAACACCATCCAACCCCCCATTCTTAAAGACAAATACCTAGGTGTGCACCTGGACAGTAAACTGGACTGGTCCCTGAACACGGACGCCATCTACGGGAAGGGGCAGAGTCGGCTCTTTTTCCTCAGGAAGCTCAACAGCATGTCAGACATGAATGCAAGGAGACTGGATAAGCTGGTCAAAAAGCCTGGGTCTGTGCTTGGCAGGAGTCTGGACTCACTAAGGACTGTTGTGGAGAGACGCATGCAATGTAAGATGGAGGCCATCTTGGACAATACCAACCATCCTCTCCACAACATTCTGGTAGNGGATGATGCCGTCCTTTACATGCTCCACCGGGCCCATGAGGATTATGTTCTTTGATTTCTCAAGTGCATTTAACACCATCCAACCCCCCATTCTTAAAGACAAATACCTAGGTGTGCACCTGGACAGTAAACTGGACTGGTCCCTGAACACGGACGCCATCTACCGGAAGGGGCAGAGTCGGCTCTTTTTCCTCAGGAAGCTCAACAGCATGTCAGACATGAATGCAAGGAGACTGGATAAGCTGGTCAAAAAGCCTGGGTCTGTGCTTGGCAGGAGTCTGGACTCACTAAGGACTGTTGTGGAGAGACGCATGCAATGTAAGATGGAGGCCATCTTGGACAATACCAACCATCCTCTCCACAACATTCTGGTAGGACAGAGAAGCAGCTACAAGTGCAGCAAACGTCTCATCTCACTGCACTGCAGAACAGAGAGGTTCAGGAGATCCTTTGTTCCCACTGCCATCAGGCTATACAACACCTCAGCCAAAGGAAGTTGACTTATCTAATTATTATTGTTCACTGTTTTTATTATTGTTATTATAATTATTATTACTTTTATTAACAATGAGGTAATGGACACATTAATTTCCGCTAGGGGATAAATAAAGTATGTATCTATCTATCTATGTATCTATAAAAATGTCATAGCATAGTAAGGCATGAAAAGTAATAAAAATGACACAGTATAGTATGGTATAAAAAAAGTCTTAGTATTCATGGTTATATTTTCATGGGATTTTTCAATAGAGATTAAACTCATACTTTGATATATCCACCATTTTATGTTTATTCCTGTTCACAACCTGACTCCTAGCCTACAGAAGACAGAAGCCAGGGTTAGCTTGCTATTTAACCGTAGCTAACATGGTTAAATAACATCAGTTGACATTTTTCTGGTGACGTAAGGTACCACTGTGATATTCTCACATGACATGAGCATTCAGATAGCCCCCTCCCTTTTAGTCAATCAAATGCTAGCATGCCTAGATCCGTTGTCTTGGAGACGTAGCCTCTTGGAGGGCACATTGGAATGATCTAATTTGACTTCACTCCAAACATAGTGCAACGAGTTCACTCAAATATTTGGCGGGACAATTCTGTCCTCCCAAAATTTTGGTAGGGACATGTCCCTACCATCCATATGCAAACCTACGTCCTTGCATTTCACTCAAAATCACAAATGCAGACGTCATAGTGGTGCGCTAAATGAAAAGTCAGAGGATCGTCAAATCATCCCCTGGGGAGTATGAATGTCTGTACAAAACATCATGTAAATCCACCTTATTTTATAGTCTGGACTCAAGTGGCTGACCAAATGACAACCAACGTGCCGTTCTAAGAGCCAAAAACAAAGCCACAAATAAAATGGTCTTTTTATAGCCTATTGCTTTTGTTGTTGTTTATCAGCTTCTTTTTTGGCTTTTTTTCCTTTTCACCAACAAGTGTTATCCCTAAAGCTTTTATCTATTATGTATGGTGGTGTGTCAAAAACCGGCACCGGCTGTTGTGAAATGTCGGTCTGCTTTTTGGGTTGCACCTGTTCAGGTATACATTGCCAATAAAATCTGTTTTAAACAGAGCCAGCACAGGAAGTGGCACATTTCACTCCATTTTTGTATTTTTTTGTTTCAAGTATCAAGCGCAATCAAGTATAAGCCCAGTAGAATCAAACTTTGTGAGGTGGTGCAAGTGTTGCAATGCTTGATTCTGTTAAATGACCAGTTTTCCCACAGCGTTTCACAATAGCGCTACCGTCTTTGCTGCAGATTTCTTGCGGCATAAAGTTTATATACCAACTTTAACTTCACCTATTTTCAGAAAATCTTGTATACACTTCTATGCTCTATGCCCTCTCATCTATCCATGTCTCTCTGTTCTCTTTCGCAGATTTGAATCTAGCAGCAGCTATCATGGCCCTTTTGAGTCTGACGATGATGGTCATGGGCTCCATCTGTATCGCCATGTCCCTGAGCAAAGGAGTGCAGTTCTTTCTCAAGCCAGCCTCCTTCTGTTTCATCCTATCAGGTGGGACTTCACCCTAGAGTGGAATCAGGGATAGCTTTTTGCAGTGAAGCATGACTAACAGATTAATATGTGGCAAGATGATGATCATTTGGTCTTTATATAGATATGTCTTTCACAGCTTAGAGGGCGCATTGTATTAAATGATCTGATCTGATCTGATGTGGTTTTATTTTGTTAAATCTCTTTCACACTTTCTATTCTTTTTTCCCTCTGTTTAGGTGTATTGGTCCTTCTCTCTATCCTGATATTCCACCAATCTGTGTTGGCCTTGCTGTCCAGTAACCACGCCATACCATTACACCACGAGCTGTCTTGGTCAGTGGCCTGTGTAGGCTCAGCGGGAGCCACTCTTATTATTGGAGGTTTCCTCTTCGTCATCCTCTCTCTTCCTTTCAGCCCTTGGCAGAAATGCTTGCCACACAAGAATAGCGCCACCTAGCACTTGAACGCTGAAATATACAGAAAGTGTTTTTGATAAATTGCTTGAGGGCAAGTAATCTACAAAAGCTCATTTCCTGAGGGCTACAACCTTGAGCTTGCTCTTGGCATTTAATTTGTCAAGAGAGGTCAGAAAAGGTCTTAATTAAACATATGAAGAAAAGTCAGCACACAAGGAATCCCTCCAGAGTTAGGCTAAAATTTGTTTGGGTGTTTTTTTTTTTTGTAGAAAATAGATGAAGGCTTCTGGCCTACCCATAGCCGTACAAGCACACATAAATCACACAAAATCTTTTCTGCTTGCAAAAGTAGAGTGAATACATTTTATATTATAAAACTTTTTGTAGTCTCTTTAATATGAAAGCCCATTTCTGCCAAGAAAACTAGAAAAGAACAAAACATAGAAAGTTAGTGGCAAGTTCTTGAAATAAAACAACAATGTTTGCCCATGTCCTCTATAATGACACATAGCAGCATTTTTGGATCTATCAACAGGATGTTTAGGCACCAGACTGACTTTGTTAGGTTTAGGGAAAGATCATGGTTTGGGTTAAAATATGTACCTTGTTAAGGTGAGTGGTACATTGGGGTTTGGGCTAAAATGACCTTCATCACCATGGCTACAAGAAGAAATACAAGCGATGATCATAGTCTTGGTTAAAAAAAACTGTGAACTTATATTCATATAGGCTCATACAATTTTATCTATTACTCTGTATGTGACCCGACAGAGGGGAGGGCAGGGATAAGTGGTGGGTTAAGTTATAATAGGGGATCATAGGAGGTTAAAATGGAGGGTGGAAAATTATTTATAATAAATTACGATTGATTATATTTTGACTGAGGCATAGCGCACCAATGTGCTCATCTTGGGTTCTGATAGGTATACATTCTTTTTCTATAGCCTATTCATACCATTAATTTTTTTATTTCATTCCATGTCACTATGCAAATGTAAATTTCCATACATTTATAATGTACATGTGATTACCTTAGTGAACAGATGTAGGATGTGTTCTGCAATGTCAACACAATACTTCAATTACTTGATTTTCATATGTAATGTCTCCTCCATAATTAATGTAAATACGGAAAAAGGTAAACAGACAATAATTTGGTCACACAAAATCAAACAAACAAAAAAAAACATGTCCACTGTTGCTTGGAAATGGGACAGACAGAGGCCTCCTGTGATAAAGTCTGACATTTTGTTGACCCATCCATCCACTCTGATCTCTTGCCTTTGTTGTGCTATAACAATCTCAGCTAACTTACGGCTGCTAGAGGGCTGTAACCTGAATGCAAACATGTCGTTTTACAAAATTATGAGTTGGTAAGTCAAACATTTGTAAGTCAAAACAGTCAGTCAGTAAGTCAAAATTTTTGAATTACTATCTCATAATACTTACTTTCTGAATATGTTTTATTTTTATCACAAATAAATTTTAATCATTTTTTTCTTCTGGCAGAAATGGTCTTCCATAGTTTGAAATTCCTAAAGCACCATCAGAATGTATCACTATCAGTGCAGTGACAAATACTATGTTTTTGATCATGTTAACAATTAGTATGAAGGATGTCCTGAAGTTGTTTATCATATCTACAACATGTTGCCTTATGAAGTCAGTAAGTCATTAATATTCTAGCAGTAAGTCCTATGACGCATCTTTTTTTACACTTCATACTTGATAAACAGGAGACTTTAGTTGTCATTATTTATTACTTGTCTGTGTTTTACAACTATTGGGTGAATGCTGCTTCATTATATCAATGTAAGATGAATGAAATCAACTGTGAGAGGAGATGATTAAAATACCCTTTTGTATATCAGAGAATTCTATGGACTCACTTTTTAAACTCAACTCTGTACATAAAATGAATGTGTTTATATTTTGTGAATGGTCACTGTTTGTTGTTTTGTGTCAGTCACTTTATTTGGAATATGTATGCAGTAAATACACTTTATTAGTGTCATAGGATGCTCACCTTTTCTATCTACCAGGAAATTGTATGTGCACATTTCTAATCATATGTATCTACAGTACGTGGCATTAGTTCTGCTTTTCATTAAAGGGATTTGACATACAATTATTGCCTCCCTTTTGTTTGTTGGCGTGACACACCCTGTCTGTCCTCAAACTTTCACCCATTTTCACCCCTTCACAGTGTGACTCCTAACCTCTCTGCCAAACCTGCCCCTCCCCTCTCCCCCTCCTCTATAATTAGGCCACAGCTCATCGCAATGCATTTCACCGCAGAGGTTAGGAAACCTTACCCTTGAATTTCAACGATGGACCCCCCGCTGGCCTATCCTCATACCTCTGTGCCCCCCCCCTCCCCCTTCTCCACCCTTGACCTCAGAGTGCCACTTTCCCTGTTGTCTCCAGGGGAAGCCAGGGTCACTACTCCTCCGCCCCTCAGTCCCACACACAGACAATTGATCAAATCAGAAATGTCCCAATCACTGTCCTCACAGCCGGCCCACTGGAGAGTTGAGAGGCATCCGGACAGTCACATTCACTCACATGATCACCTTTACACACACAAACAGGCTGCTAACTCCCAGTGGGCAGAAACTGAATCCACATGACACACTATCCTGGTTGTATATATAGCTGTTAATAGTTCTACTGAGACTGTGTGACAAGTGGTGTGCAGACACTAGTTGCATGTTTGTAAATGGAAATGGGCTTCCAAGAATTCTTGACAGAGGACCTGTAGATTGAAAGTTGAAGCTCACAAAACAGAAAAACCGAAGTTGTTATGATTGATATGTTGCCAAAAATATTAATGACGATATATTTTAAGATGTATAACCCATAGCTGTGATAAGGAATGGTGCCTGGGTAGTGAATGACATGAGTTTGCTTTGGCAGCCTCTCATCGTTCCTCCTTGAACCTCTCATCGCTGCATCACTGTGAATGTAACTAGATTGCAGAAGGTATGATAATAGCAGGGAAGGGCACTCCAGATAACTAATCTTCAAGGTCCAGGAGCACTGCTAGGAATCTCAGGCTCCTTGTCAAGGATGTGACACCGCCTTCCTGTTGCCCTTATGCATCTGTATCATCTCTTGTCTCTGAGGGTACTCTTTCCGTTCGATCCTCTCTGGAAAGATTCCCACATTCCCCACTCGTCCTGCCAGTGATGATCCCTCTAAGGTCAAGCAAAACCTGCCCAGTGGGATGAAGTGACCAAAGCATGACTGTACTTTATAATTGTTCATGCAAAATCATGCATGAGGTACCAGATGGGCCCATCAGAGAAAAAAACAAACTGTACTCAGGAAGGGCAGTGGTCACAGAAAAGCACACTGAATTAACTTTCAGTTGCTTTTCTCATTATCCTGTTTGGCAAACACCACCCATCTGCCACTATCCATATATTAGCAAGTTTTATGAGCCTCAGGTGTGACAGAGAAGGTTGAAGTCTGTTTAGGATCACAGCATGCCAAAGATTAGCCAAGGGACCTTGAACTTGAGTAATTACTTAGAGAAATGTTTGCTCACCAGTGTGTGTGTGTGTTTTATAGCTCAGTGGTGGAGAGTAACTAAGTACATTTACTCAGGTACTGTACTTCCATACTATTTTGAAGTTCATGACATTTGAGTATTTTCAATACAGCCTACTTTATACTTCCACTCCACTACATTTCTGTGGCAAATATTGTACTTATTTGACACTTATTTGGCAGCTATTTACACTAATTACTATCATCTTGTGCGTATGTGCACATGTTAAACTGAGATTTAACTCTAAAACTGAGCAAAGAGAACATTTCCCCCCTTCAGCAGATGAATATGAAAATAGCCTTGTAGTGTCAAACTCTGACCATACATCATCCTGCACAGTGAAGCTCAAACATCCAAGTGAAGGAGGTAATAAGCAAAACCCATTTTTGAATGAAGGAAGACTTTGGTTTAACTTTTTCAGTGCAGGATTTCTACTTGTACTGGAGTATTTGTAAGTGTGTCATTGCTACATTGACTTAGTAAAGGATCTAAATACTTCTACCACAGCTGTTGTAGTCTGTCAACAGATAATCTTGAGGGATACTCAAAACACAGCTATAGGCTCAGGCTGTACTTCATACCAAAAAAGCAAAAAAGAAACAAAAGACAGCAGTCTGTGAATATGTCTGTTATTGTTTTTTTTTTATAAATTTCGTGCAGTACAGTGTTTAAGTTTATCACACATTTAGATAAACCATAATCATTTGTCTAGATATATCTATTCTCAACTACATACTATTCATATTGCCCACATAAATGCTATCTGTGTGCAGTTTTATCACATTTTTCTTTTTCTGAAATGAAATCAAAGAAATGAAAACGTATAGAATCTGGAAGCGTCTGGTTGTTGTTTTTGTTTCTTCATTATGTCATGTAGCAGGTGTGTTCATGGTTTCAACCCAGATCTGCAGTCACCCGGGACAGTTTAGAAGTGAGAGTTGGGAAAGGGGGTGTTGGGTGGGGTGGGTAGTGGGATTACATGTCTTTACATTCTCATCAATATAAACAGAACAGGTCAGAGTTCAGACTCAGCAGTCAGCAGTCACAGGGGAAGCACAGTGAAAAGAATCTTTGGGGAGGTTAAGGGATCGTCTGTGCGGTGAATCTGTTATTGGTCATGTGACAAAGTATGGGGAAACACTGCTCATGTGACCAAATAAGGGCAAGGGAGCGGCCAAGAGGGGTGCCGTAAGATGGGCGGATGAAACCACCCAGCAAGAGTCCAGGGAGGGCACCAGGAACGAAACACTTGAGCCAACCCCGCCCTGCCCAGAATGCATACCCAGTCTGAACAGTGGTCCCGAAAACGTATCTATAGACTTTACAAATATATGTATGCGTAAATTACAATATACAGGTATCTTTTCAAAAGGTTTTCTCTATAGTGTTTTTTTTTTTTTTTTTTTTGAACCCTCTCAACCCACATATACATATTGTATTTTTTGCCACTGAAAATGATGAGTTGCATGTGTCACTTTGGGACTCTTCATAGAAAAAAATGATTAGGTTTTTTGTTTTTCTGCTCAGGCAGCAATCTTTACCTGATTCTGTACAAATGTATTATTCTATGTCTCTTTTTTCTGCTTCCTCCAGCCAGAGGTTTCTGTTAATGCCCAAGAACAAACATCTTCAACACGACTATAGCTACAAGTACTACTGTTAACACTGATTAGAATGGAAATAAGACTAACAGAGGCCCATAGAAAACTCAGACTCATAATAACAATGAAGTTGGTCAGTCATCTCAGTCACTCACATTATTGTTGCATTTCTTTCTGTATCAATATTGGAAGACAATTTACAGTATTCACATCTGACTTCATGTTATAAATGAAAATTATATAATATGAGGGTTAAAAAAAATAATACAGGCTCTCATTCTCCCACATATTGTGCACACTCATGCTTGACACAGTTACACACAGCTCACTGACAGTCACAGTGGCTGTGCATGGAAGAAATTCACAGTAAAAGTTGTCAAGATCTGAAATTAAAGTGAAAAAAAAAACAAAAAACAAAACACGAAAATTAAGATTTCATTCCAAACTATAGTGTTTGCAAATATAGCTAGCCTGTAATAACGCTAAGAATAATCACAACAACAATTTTACATTAATAATGATCTGGTTAAATTAGCAGTAATATTGCACAAAAAAATATGTGAAACATTTTCATAATAGCCCAAGGTTAATTGCGTTTGATCATTAACAAAATAAATCATTTCTAGCACATTAAAATATCAAAATAGTTTTATTGTGAAAGTTCATTGTTGTTGTTATTATCACTCTGTTATTACTCTTCTTCTTTTTGTTCTCAGTGAGATTGAGTAGACTAAATAACAGTGAACATGGAGGGAGAGATATACCGTTTCGTTTGTCTGTCTGTCTATTTCCTGTTGAGCCACACAAACACAGTGCTCCTCTCTATCTGTCCTCTTTCACCACTACCCATCCTCTCTCTTCTCTCCCTTACTCCTCGCCTCCCCCTATCATACCCTCTTTCTACACAGGTGTTGTCTTCCTATTGAGGGTGTTAGAGTTGCTCTCCCTGTCTCCCTTCAGCCTGTCCAGAGTCCCCATCCCTCGCTCCCTGTCTACTGTGGATGAGGTGAAGGGTGGAGGGCCGGAGCCCACAGAGTTGGGCATCGGCGCATTTGAGTTGGAAGAATTTGAAGGATTGTGGGACTTAAGCGACGGAAGTGTACCGCTCATCATCACTCCCCCTCCACCCCCATCCTTTGGGAAGCAGTTGTGGAGCTGGTAGAGCGTGGCCCTGTCCACCGTTCCATACATGGGCGGCAAACCCCCCAGTTTGGGGTCACGGGACAAGGTGTAGAGGGAGATGTCGCCTCCAGCCAGGGCCGTGTGGGAGCGAGAGTGGGGGTTAGGTAAAGTGGACACTGAGATGGGGCCCTGGGAAAGCAGCGCAGAAGGGGGCAGGCCAAAGTTCTTGCCCCCACCTCCCCCTACAGGTGAGGGGTCTCGGGAGCGGGAGGGGTCAGTGGAACGGGATGAGGAGCGGGATCTGCGGCGGAAACGGTAGCTGGGCAGGCGGAGCATGGCGTGTGTGGTGCTCTTGAAAATGTCGGTGCGCGAGCGACAGCGCAGCTCCTTGTTCTTCTCGATGTAGATGTTGACGGCCAGCACCCCAACCATCTCGGCCATGATGAACGACAGGCCTCCAAAGTAAAAGGACCAACCGTAGGAGTACTGCCACTTCTTATCCTCGTCCTTCTTAGGAGAGATGTCCCCCAGTGCGGCCGAGATGTACACGATCACACCAATTATGTTACTCAGACCTGGGAGAGCAAAGAAAAATGGTATTTACAAAGGAGCTAAACAGAACCAGAAAGACCAGCTTACAGTGCTAATGAAACATTTGTTTGACAGAATGATTTGTGACATTCTCCGTAAAGACAACTGGCACGATATGGACGGGATGGCGAATGTAAAAACCTCTATTAAATTGACAGAACAGTCTAAACATAACTGGACACTCCAAAACAAAGCATAAAAACTGTTATGGCACATGATGTTCTCCAGACCACCACTCACACATGCAGACAAACCTGCACACAAGCAAGCACATGTATTTATACACAAGATGCACATACCTGCAGCCACAAAGAGGATTCCTGCCCCAAGGATGATGTTCCTTTTGCTCTTATAGAAACGACTAGCAGCAATGCACACCCCTCCCATCAGCAGCAGGATGGCACTGAGGATCGGGAAGATGTTGGAAGCCCTGACTACCCCTAAACAGAGGACAGAGTAAACGGTAAACAGCAAAAACTAGAAAGAAAAAGGAGTATAAATGTGTGTAAAATGTCATGGGAACTCTGTGACAATATCTGACTTGTCTTAGAGTTATAAGTCAATTATTCTTGGAAGTAATGCAGTGTTATTGTTTCTCATTTTATCTTGTCACTGTTCTCTCTCCTTCACTCGCTCACCCTGTCAGAGCTGTGAGTTACTTCTAATGCAGACTACTACTGATTCCTACTGCTGGAGGATTCAACTTGCAAAATAGGGTGGCTTTTATTGTGAGGCAGTCACAGGAAACAAAATATATTTATCAAAAATGCACCGACAAACAAGACAACAATCTTTTTCTTCAACAACTGCTATTACCGCTGCTGCTGTCTGGAAACTACTGTGGCCGCTGCAGCATCAGATTGTGGTTGCAAATATTTTTGACTGTCTTCTCTATTAAAATTGGTTTGGCTACACTTTAAAAAAACATACACCAGTTGTTTCTCTGTTGTATTTTTGAAAACACAGCTGCTCAAGGAATGTTAACTGTAGTATTAAACTGCACAACAATCACAAAACAGCTAACTTATACTATCTAACCCAGGTTTTGAACCTAGGCAAGGAGGCAAGAGTCTGAATAATAGCCACAAAGAGAATAAAAATAGTTAAAGCTGCTCCATTCACATAATACTTGGTGAGGAAATTAATTACTTAGTTCTAGGCACACGATTGAATCAAACCCTTCCCATGTGGCCTTCAGTGCTTTCAGGAAGTCTGCCAACCATGCACACACATGCACAAGTGAACACACACACACACAAACACACATTAACACTCCTCTCTCATCTAGGACAACTAGGCCACGGGAGAGAAAATGCCACCTAAATGCCAGCAAAATGTCTCTGCAACATTGTAAACAGAACACAAGCTTTTCCTTATGTATGCACGGGCACACGTGTAGCATATCATGGAGCAGAAAGATACCACTGCAGGGCACTGAGTGTGAACTAGGGCACCCCCATCTCCCATCACTTTCTGTGCACACGCTCACATGTTTATTTCTTGCTGAGATTATCGTCTGAGGAATGAGCAATAAAAACACCAAGCTTAACAGGTTATGGAGAGCAGGTTTAGGCTTATTTTCTCTTCATTTCTCTGCTTCTTAGCAAAGCTCCCCTCTCTCTCATCATCCACGCCTTGTAATGCTGCTATCGACTTACGTAGGACGTACTCTGCCCCATCATGGTCAAAGTCTGCATCCTCTGGGAAGTGGTTGATCTGAGAACACACTCCTCTCTTCACTCCTGGGATATAAGAGGAGAAACAGCGGTGACCAGACACAACAAAAGACAAGAACTCATAACTGCAGCCTTAAGAAAAGAGAACAGCAAATATCCTCCTGAGAGACAAACTGATTGACACCTCAACACAGTCATATCTGTGCTAGAAAATCCTTCTTTTACTCCAAGCGTACAGTATGTGCCTGATGATAAACTTCAACATACTGATAAAGAACATCACACGAGTTAATGGTTCTTCTAGGAAATGGAAGTTAGTAACATCACATACACACATGTAAATACATACAAGTATGCAGACACACAGGCAGACAGATAAGTACCCGCTGGGGTCTTGCATGTAGACAGACAGACGAACGGAGGGATGCACGCACGATGATGACAGCACACCACTGTTGCTGATGGATGGATTGTGAGAAAGATGGAGTGATGGAATGAAGAGACACAGACGGAGGGAGAAACTGACAGATGTGGGATGAGCTGGTCTCTTTCTCACAGCTCTTATATTTCCACAGGTTGGTCTGTAAAGAAACAGATGGAGGTACAAAGGTGCGGGACATCAGTTGAGCCACACAGATCAGTGTTAGCAGCCTCAGACAGAGCTCAACGTACTTCAGACTGTTTCAGGTGAAACGTGCCCCGAAGTGAATGCTGCTTCAAGGAACTTGTTTAAAAACATTAGTGTAAGTTAGCATTTTTGACAGATTTCTTCAAGTTTCTAAAAGCATATGTTAAATGCAGGACCCCAGTGGTGAAAGAGGTATTTAAGTAAAATTACCAATGCAACAATGTAAAAACACTCTGCTGTATAAGTAAAGGTTCTGCATTCCTAATCCTACTCAAATGAAAGACCAGATGTACTATCAGCTAAATTATCAAGTAAAAGTATTAGTTCTGCAGAAAAAAATACCATATTTCTTTGGTATTTCTTTCTGGCCCCTGTGACTGATATATAATTATATCTGACATTGTTAGATTGTTAGTGTGATGCACCAATGCATAAAGTGCATTTTACTTTATATACAATCAGGTAATTTAACCTAGGGGTCATGCCCCCCCAAAGGGTCACAGTATAAATCTAAGGTTCTTGAGATGTTTATTGGAGTTGGAAAGAAAACAAAACAAAGTTTATCTATGCAAATTTAAATTCATTTTTTAAAATATTTTTCTAATATTTGTGTTTTTTGTGAAAAATTGGACCGTTTTACGTCTTTGAACCTCAGACAATTACACAACAATTAGATGATATTATCCAAGAAGTTTAACAGTTAAATCACTCTTTGGTCAAACAGCAATGGGCCCCCACCAAACACCAAAGCCAAAAAGACTGGAAAACACTGGTTTAATATATAAAAATGTTCTATAAAGTCCGTCAATATTTTATATGGAAAATACTAATTTAACTGTTAGATAAATACAGTGGAGTAGAAAATATAATATTTTGCTCTAAAATGTGGTCAAGGAGCATAAAATGGAAAAACTCAAGCAAATTGCAAGCACCTCAAAATTGTGCTTAAGAACAGCAGGTGAGTACAGTACACTGGAGGACTGATTCCTTATTCCCTGAATGACTTGAATGAAAGCTCTAACATCATCTCACAAATTTCTGTGCTACATGAACAAAAATCCTAAAAATAAAATAAAAATAATTATTGGCATGAAAGTCAGGGTAACCCCACCTTCAATAAACCTGCAGATGCTCTGGAGAGGACAACAGGACACATCTCTATCCACAGCATAATGTGCCACCCACCCGCGGGCATAAATCTTTTAGAGCTAGCATGTCCTGCATTTCCACTCCAGCTACACCTCACTGCATCACTGCACGACTACTGAGCATCTATCTTGGCTGAACACTCCACAGACATCAAGGATACTTGACCTCTAAGCCATGCCAAGACACTGTCTGCTTTACTGCACCACAATGTGAGAGAAAAGACTGAAAGAGAAAGAAAGAAAACGACGAGGAGGGGAAGAAGAGGAGAAACCAGTGAAAGATGAAATGAAATGTTTGGGGGAGTGATACAGAGGGATAGCAAGTGGAGAAACTGAAAGAGTGAGGCAATGGAGGGAGTGGGTGGGGGTGCACTGCAGAAGAGCTGCAAGGGCTAGAGCTTATCTCTAATTGGCTGCTTTGCTATCAGGAAGCTTAGAGATGAGGACAAATTAGCTTTGTACAATGACCAAGCACAGGATGGGCCGCGGATGCTGTATAAGGAGAGCCAGGAGTTTTTCCTGGAGACAGAAGACCCTCTACCTCAGTTTCTATGTGAGCAAAGGCTCAGCTCGCTAACTCACACCACCCCTTTGGCTGTAGCTGCTTCACTCCAGCCCAGCCTTTACCGTTGAGTGTCAGCCAGTCAGTGTAATGTATAATGAATTAGCAGCTTGTGTTGCAGTGACAAAACTGAAGATCGAGAGATGGCCACTGCCAGTTTCTGTATCTTCTGCCACTTGGAATGAGAAGTTGATGGGTTAATGTGGGCCTTTAGTTTCAGCACTTTAATGAAATTACTGCAGCCTGAACCGAAGACAATGATTAATGATTATTTTGAGTGAACGTTACGCTCCAGTATTATCTAATTTTACTGCAATTATGCAAAACTGTTTTTTTTTTTGCCACTATGGTACGGTCTAACAGATACCAAAAGGAATGTGCATATGTTGATGCAAATAATGATTACTGGTTTTACAGCAGTGCTGCAGTTTCCTAAAGTCAAGTGAAAGACTGACACTACTGAACTTCAGCATTTGTGTTCTAACTATTTACACTGATCCTGCTTGGCTGAGCAAACAATGAAAAACGAGATACAAGGTTTTTACAGCAATGACTTCAGTTCAGTTGGAGCCGATACGTTAAGTTAGATTCATCACTATCTCCACCAACCCGATTAACTGGTCGAATACTTTTCACAGCAGATTCAGAAAGACAAGCGTTTGTAATGATAACAAAGTCTAAGTACAGAAACCTTTATATTATATATTGCACTGTAATGAACGCCTTCATGTTTCAATGATCTGTATACAGTGATTTAATAAATACATCTGCTGTCTACATAGCAGTAGATAAAGGGTCCAGCTGCTCTCGTCCTCCTCTGAGCATCACTTCAAATCACACACATCCAAACCCTCACAGCTCAGTCTGAATTACTCTCCAAGGGAAATACAGTCCATCTAGTTGAGAAGTGGGAGGAGCTGTTGGCTCTGTAAGTATTTTTCACCACTCTGATTTCCCATTCCAAAAATTTCTTGATTTCCTCAGTTTTACTTATCATAGAAACTTCAAGCAGTAAACATTCATTTTCTATGCAAAGGTATAGTGGAGTAATGGCATCCTGAGCAGGGAACGAAGTTACACCCCCTGTGTATGTGTTGTAATCTGAGTTTCTCTGTTCTTTGTTTTGGTATCTGGTCTGTACGTGTGCATGTTAGTTCTTGTGCACGCCTCAGACAAAGAAAGAGATAAGACCAGAGCACAGGCAGAACCGGTCGTGGGGACTACCGGCTCAAATCCCTGGTAGGCTGGTGGACTGTCAAAACATCCATAAAGTTTTTACCAGCTCCGTCAGTGTCATTCGTGAGGCCGGTCTCAGCAGATAAGTCCAAGGCTGAATTTCTTTCCCAGTCCGACTGTGATGATGTGAATGATGTTTCTCACTGATGTGGGCCTTTGGAGCCCATCTGGGGCATGGAAATGCTCCAACTGTGAGTTGTGTAATTTCATGTGAAATGCCCTCCCACTCCACAACTCTATTCTCTGTTGCCTGAAATAAGATGAATACGATTTGAAAGAACACTTATCCAATATCCAGTTTCTCCCTCTTAACTTCAATCTCTACTCTCTGTCCTGAAGGCAAGAAGATCTAGTCTGACAACATTTGGATCTACTTTAAGGGCGAAATGGCTAGAATGTTGACAGAGCCTTATTGCCCTATGCCAAACTTTACTTCACACACTAAACTGAAATTAGCAACATCAACCAAAGCAAACTTGTTCCAACGTGCATCCCCAATAGTCCAAATCCCAACAACAGACCCAAGATGTTTCCCACAGCCTCTTTTCTACCTTCCAGGCAGCATATCCTCCACAGTCCAGAGTGGGTGAGCGCCCCAGGGTCCTTCTTGTCCTTGTTGTGGGGATCATCCTGGGTGATGTTGGCTGTGCTGTTGCAGATGAGGGCGCGGGAGTACAGCCAGTAGTCCGTCCCTATTGCCACCGTCATCAGGCCGAAGGCAGCGAATGCCCCCACGGTGGTGAGAAGGATCTGGATCCCCTTCTCACACACCATGCCTTCAGAGAGAAAAGATAGAGGCAGAAGGACAGAAGGGAGAGGAGGAAAAGGGTGAATGTTTAGGAGTGCATAAGAGAAAGAGTGAGAATAAACAGGTGTTAACTGTGGAAACAGAGAATGAGAAAGATTGGGATAACCAAGCAGGAGTGTGTTTGCATTCATACACAAAGTGCAGTTTATTTAAAAAAAAGAAAAAAGAAAGCCAACACGCAGGTGAGATGATGAGGGGCAGGAAGAGGTGAGGGAGTTGAAGAGAAAAGACGAGAGAAAGAAGGAGGCGGATGTGGGAGGTGCATAAGTGGGTCTGTGATGTGTCCTTGGAGGAGAGTTGGATGACTCTGCTGACTTCGCTTAACAAGACAGAATTGATGTGAAACACAACAGATCACACCCTCCCAATCTCGGTCTGTTCCATATTCATGACCCTGACACCGCTCTCCCCCTCAGAATCATAAGGGCTAGAGATGAATACACACACACACACACACACACACACACACACACACACACACACACACATATACATATACATACAAAGCAGCTGTAACATGGGATCAGCTTGTACCTGTTAAAGTCTTTATTGGGAAGGCAATGTGGGTGCACCTTTTACATACAAACATGAATGTACACTCTCACACAAATCACATCACACAGTTCACTGACAGCTCGTCACCCTGACCCATGTATGTCTAAGTTGCTATAAATTTACCTCACTTGTCTAAAATTGCTACAGTAGATATTTACTACTTGTGTTAAACCTCAAAGTTTCCCTTTCACACTGAATGAACTGATACTGTCAGAGTTTTTAACAGGGTAAAGCAACATCTGAAGGTGCAAAGTGTGATAAAGTGAGACTTTACCTGACGGCGAGTTTCTATCCTTCGACTCAATTTTGAAATCTTTCTTTTCCTCGTCAGTGAAGAACGTGCTGTCCCCTCAATCCGGACAGCATCCATCGACTGTTCTCACCCGCTCCCCTCTCTCCTTCTTGCACTTGTTATCTCTCTTTTGCCTCTTTCTCTTTTTCTCTCTCCCTCTCTTTTTCTTCCTCACTGGAAAGGTGGTGTCAGTGGAGGTTGTGGCTTGAACGGTTGTCCCGCTCTCCGTCCGTCTGCTGTTAGCAGAAAGCTTGAACCAGAGAACCCATGGTCACTGCTCTGCTGCTGCACATAAGAGAGAGCAAAAGACAGGGATATATTACATTTTATTAGTTTATTTACAGAAGTATTATCAGGCCAGATGCAAATAACCTTACTCTTTATTTGCAGTTTTGTAAATTTTCATGCTTGTCTAAACGCTGGCTTTTTGCCTTTTCTTTTACTGCACTCTGTTCACACACAGAAGAGAGTGACCTCCTCTCATTGAACCATCCTGTTTAAATAAAGGTTGAAGGAATTCATTCACAATTCACAATTAATCAACAAACTGTTTGGTCTAAAAATAATGAATATTGCCTTTTACACTTCTCTGACACCTAAGACGATATTAAAAGTTCTCATTTTGTCCAAGCAAAAGTTCATAACCTGAAGATATTCAATTTAATATCCCATAAAATGAAAGAAAGCAGCAAATACTCATAACTGAGATGCTGTTACTGAGATATTTTTTGGCATTTTTAGACATGCTAGTGACATGGCTCCAGGGATGACAATGTCGGACTTAGACATCTCAATAACTATTGGCTAGATTGCCGTGAAATTTGGTACACACAGTCATGTTCCCCTCAGGAAGAATTGAAGGCTAATCACTTTGGTGATCTCCTGTGGCTTTTTCTCTCGCACCATCAAAAGTTAAAAATTATGATCTGTCGAATACTTGATTTACAGCCAAATGCTCCAGCTGCACATTGCGTTTGGTAGTAATTAACAAATGCTAACGTGCTAAATTAGATTGTGAACATTTTGCCTGCTTAATATCAGCATGTTAGCATTGTCACTGTAAGCATATTGGCATGCTGACATTAGCATTTAGCTCAAAGCACCACCGTGTCTAACTATAGCTACACAGAGCTGCTAGCAAAACTGTAGACTCTAATTGTTGTTGCTTGAAAATGACTTCAATCACGTAGGCTTCACCGAACAGACTTTACCAATTCATTTTCTTTCAATCGGTTCAATGAGTTATTCTCTCAGCTGTACATTCAATACTACAGATGCTTTACTTTCATTTTGTAGAACCACATTGTTACTGTGTTAAAACAGATAGTAATTACAGTAGTGACAGTGTTACTGGCTGAAGACTGAATGACTCCAGAGCGAGTTGTACTGCATCTAGTCTGAATAAGAGGAGCAAGAGGGGGAGGCAGAGAGGACCAACCCGACATTGTTACCATAGCAACATTGAATTCCAAAGTCTGGATCAGCATAGAGCGAGGGGGGAAAAGGAGAGGGGCAGGCAAGAGATAGAGGGAGAAAGAAATGGAGAGAGCAAAGCAGAGAGAGGACAGAGAAGAGAGAATGGAGAGAAAGAGGCAGAAATGAGGGGGAATATTTCAAGTCACTAGTATGAGTGTTGACTCTGAAACCCCAGACAGACAGACAGACAGACCAGTGCGCTAATGCTCTATCAATAGATTTGTGTGTGACCACTGCGACACAGATGCTCCCAGACACACACACATACACGTGCACTTAAAAACACACATGAATACACAGTGTCTTTTCTTGATAAATTAAAAAAAATGTGCAGATGAAGCAACACCCATTATTCAGCAAACATTATTTAGCAGACATAATGCAGTGCAGTCAAGTCTGTTAATATTTTATGATGCAATATGGCACCGTGATCAAAATAGGTTACATCCTGTTTGCATTGTGAGACCCAAAACAGAGCTGCCTCAGAGACAGAAGGAGAGATGGAAGGAGAGACGGTGTGTGGTGTGTGTGTGTGTTTTTATGTGCGTGTGTGTGTGTGTGTGTGTGTGCATTTCCTCTCCAGTGCATCTGAGGATGGGTCTAGTCCAATCTTATTGAATCCCAGTAATGTTCCCCTCAGCTCCCCTCAGTTAGACAGTTAGCCTCGTATCTCTGCGTTCAGGCTCCTTATTATGTAAACTGTCAAATGACACCACCACAGTGCAGCTTATTTATACATTGTGGGTTCATATGTGCAAGTAAACAAGTGAATGTGATTATGCATGTGTGTTTTTGTGTGTGTGTGTATATATTTGTGTGTGTTGTATGACCTTCCAACCCTATCAACATACTGCCTCTCCCTGAGGAAAATACTTGTCCAGAAGGGGATTACACTATCTCCAAGGCCTAAAAATGCAGTATCTAGTGTGTGTGTGTGTGTGTGTGTGTGTGTGTGTGTGTGTGTGTGTGTGTGTGTGTGTGTGTGCGGTCTTTGACTCCAGTATTTAATGAATGACCTTAAGAGTAACCTACTAAGTTATTCCCCGTAGCAGAAACTCCCCTGTGTAGGAGATCATAATTGTCATTTAATTATCTGTAATTTCTATTTTCCACCAATAATTAAGAAAGAGGGAACAAGGAGGAACGGGACCAAGAGAGCGTGAAAGAACAAGAGGGCAAGAAAAAGACAGAAAGTGTGAGAGTTTAAATAAACTGGTTAGACTAGGGGACTGTATGAAAATTATTAGTGAGGTGGAGAAATAGCGATGGTATTGTAATTTCACTTTTAACTGTTGGAGTGCAAGAGAGAGTTTGCATTACATTTATTATTAATTTACACATTTACACCTGTTTACAGGTCTTGAGGAGCACTTCTGCATATGTGAGAAAAGAAAGTACAACACTAAAGCTTCAGTGCAGTAGGAGACCTTGATGTAAGTACTAAGTACTACATCTATTCAATAAGTGAAAAGAGATCAGGTAAAGCAGTGCACAGTAAGTGCTCATTAGGCATGTTTGGGTGTTGGAGGTGTTAGGAGAGGAGGTGCTCTTGGAAGAGGTGAGTCTTCAAGAGATTCTGGTCTGATAGCATTTGGTAGCTTGTTCCACCATCGGGGAACCACAAACGAGAACAGTCTGGTCTGCCGCAGCTCAGTAAGTGTCAGCTGCATCTGAAGACTATAATTTTGAAAATCCAAGTGAGCTCACCAAACCTCTGTAGCCCACTCCTCATCTCTGCATAAGGCTAGCTCAAGGCTACATTAGCCGCTACTAGCATAACACAGCACAATCTCTAACAGGAGAGTTGTAGGTACTGTTGGTACCAGATTTTAACAATAACGAAGAATGTGTGGAATAAAAATGACGTTATCTCTGGTTGTGCTTCATCGATTTTCATTCTTTTTTTTAAATGTTCATCATGAGTCCAACAATGTTGTAAGAGTGCAATGCTAAATCTGCAGAGTGTTTCTTCAACAACCCTGGGAATGGCCTTGCTTTTTTTTTTTAAAATAAAGGTTCAGACTTCTTCACCACCCCTGTAATTTCCATATAATCCCTAATAACAATAGATTTGCCTAGAGTGGTGAGACATTCTGGGTAATTTCAGATTTAGATCATAGCTGGATTAAACATATAAGTAGGCTATATGATTCCTTTTCCCATAATGCCAAGCTTCCAAGAGAGAATTTACCCTTATAGTATGTTTGCAACACTCAGAGGACTCTGGGCCAATTAGCTGCAGCAGGATGTACTGCAGTAACAAAGGCCAAGAGCATAACGTTGGGAGCTAGCTGCTGCAGGAACCATTACAGGACCAGGCTCTCACTTGTCAGAAAACTTCAGTTGTAATCAGATCTACCTGCGTGACTCATCCCCAGCATGACAGAAAACCTTGCTTGTATAAAATATAAGCACACCCATTGAGTTGTGGCTCCAATAATGCAGTCATAAATCACACAGGAGATTTGAATTTTGTAGCAGCTGCTCCATTAGCTATTCATTGCATAAATCAACTACCAAACTGCTTGTTGAATAAATGATGACATTTGTAATAAATTTTTCCACACATGTGAAAGGCAATGGTCCTGTGTGGGCATGTGGGAATGTTTTCAGTGTAGATACACAACAAAGTCACACTACATTGAGCATTGCATTTCCAGGAGAGGAGATATGTCTCGTTTACAAATGACCAAAATCAGGATTGCAGTTAGTGGAAATGACATAAGCTAATGCTGATTGCTTGACCAAGAGAAAAAAAACGCACTAGGCCTACTTGTGATGACAGCTCTAAAAATACAAGCAGCGTATTCTATTCTGAGTGCTTGATGCCAGCAGTGAACATTAAGAAAACATGCCTAAATATTCAGAGCAGTGACCGAGATGATTTCTCTCCTTAATCATGAGAAAAAAGCCACACACCTGAGCTTATTGCTGAGATCCCGCAGCTGGCAGGCACAGACACATTTACATTTGTACACACTCACATGCCGGCACAAACACACACACACACAGGTGCACAGAAAAAGATCAACACGCAAACAAACCTTTGGCATGCAAGCACATATGCAGCCTCAAACCCCCACAACTGTCAAAATGATGACAATAAAATCATAAAATAGGTCATCTTTAAAAGGCACTTCAAAGCAGAGCAAAACTGCCATTAAGCTCATGTGAAGAGTCCACCAAGATCCTCAGACTGCATGTGACCAAGTCTCTGCCTGTCTGAGCAGAACAGCCTGAGGAGGCAGTGACAGTAACACCTTGGTCTAAGAGGCTCCAAAAATAAAGTGTCTCTGGATGACCTGACGCTCATGAACTCATGAACATATGCTTAAACACATGCGCACGTGCAACCATGCACATGCATAAAAACACCCATATTCACTGGGAATGTACTCTCCGGCAGCAGCCCTAATACAACATGGCCCCTGAAATTAATGTTTTTTGTACAGAAAGAAAGATGTTGTTAATTCATTCTCCTGCCATTTACAGTAAGTGCAGCAGAGGAGGAAGAAATTCACATAGGGGAAAAAAGACAGTAACCCTTAATACAGACTGTAGGGCTGACACTAATAATGATCATCATTATTAATTAATAGTTTAATCTACAATATGTCAGAAAATTAATTGAAGGTTGAAAAAACATGCCCACTGCAAATTCCAACAGTTCAATAAGGACTGCAACTGACAATTTGCATTATTTCTTGATTAGTCAATTAATCGTTTGGTCTATAGAACGTAAATATACAGTGAAAAATGCCTGTTACAGTTTCATAGGTTGACGTCTTAAGACCAAAATTTAAAATCCTAAAGACCCTTTTCAATTTACTATCACATAGAACAGAAAAGCAGCAAATCTTCTCAAATGAGAAAGTCAATCAGGAGAATATTTGGTGCTTTTGATGAAAAACAACTTAAATTATTAATCGATTATCAAAATTGTTGAGCTTTGGAAGTTAATTTTTAACCATTGAAACAACAGTTTACCAGGAAATCTTAATTTTGTCTTTATGCAATTATTTGCTTCCCTGCTGAGAAAAGATGAGAAAATTGCTACCACTCAGTCTTTATGCTAAGCTACATCAACTGCCAGTTGGCTCTGGCTTTGTATTCCTTGGCTGGGCATGGTAACTTCATGGGAGTCCTGTCATCACCAAAAGTAACCCCAGGGAGTCACTAACGCCAGCCAAGAAAAGTAGTTCTAGCACCTAACTCCATGTAAAACCACAAATTGTCATTTTTACACTGTTGATTTTGTACAGGCTAAATAAAATATATAAATACTAAGATTTTTCTACCTTTGGACAGACCCAGGCTTACACTTTCCCCATTTCCAGTCTTTATGCTAAGCTAACCTAACCAGCTTTGTATTTTCTGTACATGTCTGACAATGATATCTATCTTCTCATCCATCTCTCACCAAGAAAGTGATACTCATAACCATGTTTTCAAATAGGTCTATAGAATCTTTCCACTCATGGTCGACTTGCTAGCTTTTTCAAGAGCCTTCAATCACATCTCATGGTTTTCATAAGCAAATAGAGTGGATGATAAATAATAAATGTGCAAAGTCTTGTGATTTTTTGTGAAATCAATCTTCAGTTTTCCATCAATAAACTATTCTTCTCATAACAAGCAGACCGGTTAACAGACGTGTCACTCATTTATTTAACCATTAGCATAATATTACAGAGCGACACCTTAACTAGAAGATTGCAACTTAGATATGAGCAATCTCAGCCACATAAATCTATTTGACCTAAATCCTGGAAATGGTAAAAATCTTGATGAAGTTTGGTCTGATGAACTTCAATATTTTACATAACTGAGACTCACACACACCTACACTCTGTTGTATTTAGTGATCACAGGTCTCATGTTGTGTATCTCCAGTCCAGTAAGTGTGCTTGCCTGTCAGACATGCTAACGCTGTGTCTGCTTTATGTTTACGCTGCATGCCTCTGCACACAGGCAGGCCAGTGTACAATACATCACTGTAACGATACGGTTCAGTCACAGACTCTTACAGCCCTGATCACAGAGGGTGCGCTAACTTGCACAAAGCACTTAAAACACCAAAGCTGGGGGTTAATTGCTGCACGGGTCACAGCCATTGAGACAAGAGTCAGTTAGAAATCTGTGGATAAAAGCCTCTGCTCACTAGAATTATAAACAATGTAGTGTACTGAATCTGCAAATGCAGCAAGCCTGTGTTTAATTTGAATTCAATTAGGTAAAATTGCAGGTTCAGACTTTATCACCAAGTAAATAAATAAGCAGGAGTTTGTTTTGGTGCATAGGTCATAAGTTACACAGTAATGTGATTGAACAGAGGTATTTTGATGATTACATTTGTTATGGGACCCTGAGATTATCTTGAGATATCTGGTACCATCAAGAAAATTGCAGCAAAAGCATTGAACAATAGCTACATGACAGATGTGATGATCATTGCAGAGAGTGAGAGGAGACCTGACCACCAAACCAAAATACAGTATGAAAGGAGAGCGAAACAGTGAGCCAAAACAAGTGGAAACATTAACAAGTTACATAGATTCTTTCCAATTGTTCTGGACCGCGCGTGCATTAGATGATTATGATTTGGCCAGCGCTTAAACACAACTAGAGCCTGTGTGGGCTACGCACCAGTATTGACTGCAATGAGTCACCTTACAGCGTAAACAGCAGATCTGAGAGCCGGCTGAGTTTTGAAAGTATTCCAACATCCACAGGAAACGATCATCAAAGCCACACACACACATCACACACATAGTAAGGACGATGTTTAGTACGTGGGAGGCGGAGGGGCTGAGGGGGTGTGACCAACAGATGGCGGGGGGGGGGGGGGGCAACCACACCTCAGTGAAAGATTCACTGAGAGGTGAGCAGTTAATGGCAGCACTGTGACTCCAGGAATTAAACTTTTTCATCACTGTTTGGAAAATATTTGATTTGTCAGTGCACATAACATAGCTGCACATGTCCTTTAAAGTACAAGAATGTGTAGCATTAAACTTTTCATTTATGCAGTCATGAAAAGTCATAACACTTTAGTTATTGTGCAAACTGTGCATCTACAGAGTTGCATGGAGTGGCAATTAATTAAGTTTGTCATCCACAATCAGCTGTTTACTAATTGCATTCAATCATAGTAGAATGTGCAAAAATTACTATTAAGCTGGCAGTCAGCGCCCATGTTCTGACACGGGCACTTCACACATTAGTGAGATTATCTAAATATTCAGAGGTTCAACGGTAAGCCTGTGACACTGCCCACACCAAGTGAGAGCCGAGTGGATCTGCATCAAAACCATAAAGGGGCAGGTGCTCATGGCCATTTATGCTGACTGAAAAGGAAAGACTGTTCTCCTGTAATAAAGAGATGCAGCACCTGAATCAAAAGCTCAGCTCAGTGGGGAAATACGTGTGCTATAGTCACCAAGACTGCAAATGACCACAACAGAGATAATTCATCTCTGAGAAAAGATTCAGAGTTGTACCTGTCATGGTCTGCAGCCCCACTGATGACAGGTATAACTCACTACCTTGTTTTTTGACAGTACACAGTAACTCCTGAGTGCTGCAGTGAACACTCCTATAGCATTTACAATTCAAGACATTTCATTCCACCTTCAAGCCCAGATGTGATCTGAGCTGTGATGAAAAGTGAATGATTGATGGGGCTGCCAGATGTTTGGCGCCCTTTGCCTCTGGATCTGTCAGAACACAGAGCGCAGGTCGGCCAGTGAGAGGAGACGGTGGGCTGAATAGAAAATGAATCTCATAACGCATCAGATAACATGATGTGGCCCGGGTCCAACGTGAAGCTAAGATGCTGGCCCTGCACTGTGAGGAGTCCAGCAGCAGATGCTGTGCAGACCAGTGATCAGACACATACAAGCGCAGAGCTACGGGGCTGAGAGCGTGCAAAGCTCAAGTATAGTGATGCGGACTGCGGTGCATTCATTAACAGAGTAAGCTACACATATCACCCTGCCTGCATAGGCTACACGGTGGAAAATGGACGCCTAGCATCAAGCGGCCGGTTCAGAGAAAACTCAGTGGACTGGGACATTAATCACACATTAGGACACATATCCACATTCACACACATAACTCCTGATTGTGGGATAAAGTAACATCTCAGCACACACAACAGATATTTTAGTCCCAACACCTGCGGTGCGGATGCAAGCAGAGCTTCAAACGAGCTATTATAAGGGTTTCATTTGCATAATAGACGTTGCCGTCGCTAATTATAGGCCCGCGCAAATAGGTGGGAAAATGATGATTCTGTATTTAATCAGAGATGTGGCACAAGTCTGAGAATTATTATAATTATTTTTTCCCTGAATTCCGTAGTAGTGGGCTAAGTTGCAGGCAACGTGAAACAAATCAATGTGGCGTGTAAATTTCACCGGATGAACTGTGATCCATTAGGCTGCAAAGTGAAAACAACAGTGACACGGTGTAATTATAATCATTAAAAGAAGCGTGTGGAGGTCTTACCTGCAGGCTTTTTATTTCTGAGATTCGCAGCGCGTCGCACTCCCAAAGAGAAGGAGATGGAGGGAAAAAGAAGAGAGGGGGTGGACGGTGGATGGGCTGAATAACGGGTCTATCGAGGCAAAAAATAAATAAATAGAAGGGGGTGAGTGGGATTGATGAAAAACAAGAAGCTCGCAAGGGACTGAAGGTTCAATTCCTGATAAAATTTAAATCAGCCAGTGTTGGAAAAGGGTTGAACGTGCATTTAAAAAAAAAAAGGCTGATACAAAACACGTCACTGAACACGGATTTGTCTACAGTGGATGTGGCCGCTGCTTGTGTGTAGCCTACTCGGGGAGAATGCGCCCCCCCCCCCCACCTCCTCTCCTTCCCCCTCTCCCCCTCTCCCCTCCCCTCCCCTCCGTTTGGACGAGCGCTCGCCTGCCTGCCTGTCTGCTCCGCTATCTATTTCTCCCACACTGAGCCCGACGCAAGCAACTTGTCGCATCCCACCAAAAGTCCTCAGTGATGTGAATGATGACGGATAATGTCTGAATCGACACAAGACGATTTCCTACTACAGTATGGTGCGCTACAAGACCACGGCGAAGGTTTCACACCCCCACCCCCTCACCCCCCACCTCACCCCTCCCCCTCTCTTCTCTCTCATATTGAGGAAACTGGTCTGGATGTGCTTATTGGAGCGTGTGCAGGGCGCGCGGGGCTGTGTGTTTGTAAGTAGCCTATTAGCCATGACCAGGTTATATATGTGTGTGTGTGTGTGTGTGTGTGTGTGTGTGTGTGTGTGTGTGTGTGTGTGTGTGTGTGTGTGTGTGTGTGTGTGGTGTCTGTGCTATTGATGTCGATATTTTTTGCTGGAGAGCGACTCGATGGAGCGCCAGTGGGACACTTTTCCTCTGTGGTGATGATGATGATGAGGGCCGCGCTGGTAGTTCTGGGAAATGCAGCACGAGCGCAGCCCTGCAGAGAGAGAGAGAGAGAGAGAGAGGGAGAGAGAGAGAGAGAGAGAGAGAGAGAGATGTTAAAAACTGAAGTCAAATATCTACAGGTCAATATCTGTGTATTAATATAGACAGAAATTCAGCAGGAGCTGTATAGTAATTGTGATAATTGACCATCATTGCCATAATTATTTTGTCACGTGACTTTGATGATGATGGATCTCTCTGTTTATGATATGGACTAGATAATGTCATCCACAGATCTATAAAAATACAGCCAGTGGCTGAGCTGCTGGTCACACAGCAGTTAGGATGCACAAAACTGAGCAGACAATGACCTTCAATAGCTTTAAAATGGCTTTGCTGTCCAGTTCACCCCTTCCTCTCTCTCTCTCTCACACACACACAAACACACACACACACATACATACATACAAACACATACACAGGAAGGGGAGAGGAAGAGCTGGAGAGAGCTAATACAGAGTGACAGGTCTTTCATGCAGTAATGGTGATGGTGAAAAGAGAGATCCACTCAACCCACACTACCACACACACACACACGCACACACACGCATAAAGTCAAACACACACTAACACGCAAATACACAGACAAACAAAAGAAAGAGACAGACACAAATTCACACACTGGCCTGCACACACACACATACACACACACACACACTCTCAGTGAAAAGCACAGAAAAGTGGCCGCACAACAACCACAAGTCACAATTTAATCTCAATTGTTTACACCAGCAGTCAGGCTTCATTCATCAGGAGAGACGCTCACACACACGCACACGCACACGTGCACACAGCTCACAGTCCTGGAAGTCAGACAGCAGAGTGCTCATGCTTTTTAGTTTTATTGACTTGTGGATGTTTGATGTTTGACTTCCTAATGTAACACCTCTCAGTCTCACTCTCTATCTCACACACAAATACACACACACACACACACACACACACACACTGTAAAATTACCGATAATAATTATAGTTTTAAAATGTTTAATATGACATTAATTTACTTTCTGTTCCAGTTGGTCAGAAACTGAGACAGGCTGTTGCTCCGTATGTATTATTAGTTCACCTTCATGGCTCTCTCCTTTTTTCTATTCTGTTTTTGACCTTGACCAAAATAAATTCCTTCATCCTGCGTAATACTTCGAAAGAGATATTCATTCAACATAGACGTCCCTGTTTTTGAGAAAGAAATAAGTTTGAGTTAAAGATTTTTCACTTTCCTTAAGTGAGGATACTTAATATTACAATTTGTTCTAATGCTGTGTTTTAGTTTCAGGCTGCTCATGATAAACAATTTTTAACCTTCACACATACATAAACACATATGCCAACAAACGCAGCCCCGCACAAGCGCACACACCCATAAAACACTCTGATCAATGGTTGCCCTCAGGCTGTGGTGGCTTGCCGTGACTGAGGAGGGAGCCTGGTTAACACCCAGTGGTTCACTGCAGTGTAGTGTGCACTCACTTACAATGATTCCCTCCATCACAGAGACTAGCCAGAAAATACTCTTTATATATTATATTAATGTAAGTGCACGGTGGGCTCAAAATTAGGGCTTATTTTTCAGTTCTTACCTTGTTATACAAACATTTTTATGGAAAATTTAAATAAAAAATGTATCGAGCATATTTGAAACATCCATGAAATTAATCCATGTTAAAAGTTTAATTCATGTATATCAGAGGAAAGTGAGTGACAGACGTCAACACTTTCAAGAACAGTGATCTTATTACAATTTCTATTGAATTATGTAACTCCAGATTATACAGCATTGGTTCCATTGAAGCATTGAAAAGCATTTGTTTTATCCCTTTTTTTTCTTAACAAAGATGGACATGTGCAAGAAGACTAGGCTTTCTGCAGAAGCAAGCACAGCTACACCCTTTTATATAATCATGTAGCGGCAAAGAAAAAGGCTGCGGGTAGAGAGGGAAAAACAAAGAGGTACAGAGATGAAAAAGAAAAGAACGGCTGCAGTTTAAGAGGCACCAAATGATTATCGAATGGTTCCATTATTACAAAGCAAAGTTATATGTAAAAGGATAAAAGAACAGAACAGAAATGCTTCACAGCTGTCCACAGTCACAAAGGTCACGACGGGGTCGGCAGTAGTCTAAAGGTTAGAGGTGGACTTTTAAGCAGAATGCCTAATGGCAGGTAAAATCTGGACAGGGAAATACTTTGATCTTCTTCAACAGCTACTGCTGAGGTGCCCTTGAGCAAGGCACTTAACCCCCTAACTGTAACAGCTGAACCCACAGCAGAAGGCTGCAGTCACACTGGGCTTCACCTCAATATGAATTTTTTGCAGCTGCATAAACAAAAAGCAGGGCGGTGTTGAAAAACCGCATGCATGATGAACAAAGCCCTGCCAAAAAGAAAAAAAAAAGATGATATCTCAGTGATCTTACTTCACATGTTCCCCTGTAAGTCTTTACAATTTCCACACCACACGTCATCTGTAGAACATCACTGTGTTTCCCTCTCTCCAGCATCACAGTGATAATGAAAACCAGCCATTACACAATGACACGGTGGTTTGATTCTCATTACAGAGATACATCTTATCAACATATCCCTATGCATGTTGTGCCTTTAAAAACAAGCAAACACAATATAAATATTCTAAATTAAAATACCACTGTTTTTTGACACGCAGGTCCTTCTTTTCTTGATAATTATTATTCCGCACCTTTGACACACTGCACAGTATTTGAGCAGCTTAACCGGGACACTACATTACAAGAGCATCTGAAATTATACATTACTTTCTAAACAACACCACAATATAGCCGTCTCTGGCTAAAATGCATTTATAACATTGGCTCAGAACCTCCTGCAGTTCCCTATGATACAACCTGCTACACTGCGATGCCTGAAGGAAATGCTACGACACAGAAAGTTTGTACATGGAGAAACCTCTTCAAGTCACACATTCAGAGCTGCAACGATATATGAGAACACGAATGGAAAAACAAATTTCACTCTCAGTTTTCGAGCAAAATGCCAAACAGCCCCTGGTTCCAGTTTCTCAGATGTGAAGATTCCACGCTTTTATTTATCATATATGATGTTAAACTGAAGACTTTTGGGTTTTTAGAGGTTTCCCCCTTATTTAAAAGCAGCATAACAACATTTAATAAATGTTGGATGCCGACAGGAAGAGTTATAGTTGTTGACAAATATAGGAATAAACACTTCTGCTTATAACTACATTATGGTGTGTTATGAACTATTCATGAAATGTTTATATCCTGCTTATAAATGACAAAAAGAGAGCAATAAATCACGAAAAATAATTAGCCCTTGATGGAAACAATCAACACTTGCAGCCCTAAACACAAGATGGTTCAGATCACATTTTCAAAACATATTTTTTTCATACCCTATAAAAAGTATATGGCATGATGCACTCTCACAAGTGGCCGCCAAATATGTTGGAATAAAGTCGTGGCCTCTGATAATGATATATAATTTCAAAACTAGAGGACCTGCATTTCACAAACAGTGGTATTCGTTGAGCCTTAAGTGCAAATGTAATTAATACTTTCATCATGTGAGATTTCCAGATATATAAACAGCATTTGAGCTTTAAAAAATACTTCTAATAACTCTGTAAAGCATTTAAAGATCCATGTACAGCTCAAAATATATTGTCGCTCCTGACATTCACTGCAACTCCACCTCTGGACAGACCACAGCTTCAGTCCGTCCCCTCTGTGCTGCACCATCTATTGACACACAGTGCAGGTCAGTGAGGAGGGAAGGGTGCGTGAAAAAGTAGTGAACTAGACCCAGGGCTGGTCCAGGGTCGGTGCAAAACAGTGGCCAGTAGAGGGCATCAGACCTCTGTATCAGTGTCGTGTGGTTCCTCCTTCAAACCAGCATGCACTGCACCCAGGGGGTGTGTTGTTGGTTGTAGTGTGCCCGTTGCAGCGTCTTCATCCAAAGCAGAATGAGTCAGATATCGTCTTGATGTGACTTGTGCCAAAGTTTCATTCATAAACTACAACAGCTATATCGAAGTCCTCATGTGCAATTTTATGTACAAGAAGTTAGAAATTTGTTTCTTAAAGAAATATGTAAAACATAAAGTTGATTTCTCCTCATGATATTTCAGAACATCATCCACTTCTCTCTGCATTTTGTTTCACGAATGTTAAACAACATTCACACAAAGCGCTCTCATTTCAGAATTACTCTTATCATTAACTAATACATTTTAATTCATAATATTATAATCTTACTTTGACATTGTGAGCCATGAAACTGGATTGATGATGTAAGAAATTCAGAGAAGACAAGAATATTTAACCACATTTACCTTTTAGTAAAAAGGTACATCATCCATGTACTTCATGAATTATGTATGTATAAAACTATGTGTATCCTCAGTCTTTGTGATCAGTGTTTTGCATTGTACATTTCCAAGTGCATACAAATTTCCCGCAGCACTGCAGTGTCTTCGTATTATACCGCAGCTCCTGCTCTCTCTCTCTCTCCCTGCCTCACTCTCTCTCCCCTGTATTTCCTCTGTCACTCAGCCTAACCTCTAAAGTCTTTTTAGGAAACACTTTTGTCCCTTTTTCCTTCATGACAAACTGAACTCCTTGATTTCTTCCCCCATATTTGTCTTTTTCTGTTTCTCACTGTCCATCACCGTTTCTGTAAAATCACAGCAGTGATGTAAAATATTCCTTTATAATCTCCCAAACTTCTTTTGTTCTTGCTTCATACTGCTCCAAAGCTATATTTTCTTTCCCTCCTCCATCAGCATTAACTCTCATCCACATCTAAATGTACATTTTACATGATTATGAGGAGTCTGTCCCTCCTTCCCTCCCCGATGCTCCCTCTTCCTAACAGGGGGAGGCGCTCATTTGCATGTGTGTGTGATAGTGAGGGGGAGGAACAGGTGATGGAGGCATGGCCATGGGAAGAGCCTGGCCTTGAGGATGTGAAGAGTGCGACCTGGGCAGGGTGTGTGTGGAGGGGTAGCCAGCGGACTGAGGGGGCATTTGGTAGCTCCCTGCAGAGGAGGAACCAGAGGGTGGGCTTCCCTGGATGCCTGCTTGGAGGTTGCTCTTGGTCGGCGCTGGCGGCGCCTGGTTGAGCTGGATGGAGATGTCACTGGAGGCCTCGGAGGTGCTTCGGCCTCGCTTCGGCGGGGGCCAGGAGGATTCTGGGTGAAGGAACTGGCCGCTGTAGTCACTGCTCTCGGACAGGCGGGGGTGGTAGAGAGCAGGGTGAGGGCGGTACATCTCCTCCTCGGCGTAACGCTTCATAAACAGATAGACTGACATCACCCCGGCCCCCTGAGAAGAGTGAGTGAAAAAAGATGGCAGTGAGAGATGAGGGGAGATAAGATGCGGCAGGGAGAGAGGCTTTTAGTTACATAAATAAACTGATTTCAGAGACAAAATAAAACTTCAAAATAACTGTTACAAGTGTTGTCTGGGGAAATTAGATTAAAAGTGACTGATAACAGCGAAGTGAAAAGGGATGTACAAAGTAGAAAGGTGTGCGTACTTTCATCTGCAAAGGATTCAAGGTGGAATGAGTTGTTTAAGCTAAAATAGATTTAAAGGCAGAAGAGGAAAACAACAGTGTGGAGGAAAGATGGGAGGAGTGCAGAGGAGGGGAGGACGTTAGTTCATGCTGAACTGTCCACTGCACCACATTAAGAGCAATGCAGCTGATGACGGGAAAGAAGCAGAAGGAGAAGTGGGGAGGGAGGAAGGGAGGGAGGGGAAGATGAGCAGAGGATTCACATGAAACTGCATCATGCATGGATGCACACATGAGGACACACACAGACGCACACTAACCCTGCAGCTTTGCATCATAACCACCGATACCTCACATTATCTCCAGAATACTAATCATCTTACCTGGCTGCACACTCAGCAGCAGTACTCCATTCCCGGTGTGTAGTATGTGTGTGAAAACAGCCACATAACCACACACTATGTCTTTTTTCTTTCCCATATTTTTCTCTCTAACACACACACACACACACACACACATGCACAGAGCACAGACTGACCTCTTTGAGTAAGAAGGAAGAGGCAGCGAAGGCGAAGGACCAGCCGTAGTAGTAGTTGAAGAACTGCTCGGGCTCCCTGGGCCGGTTCATCACCTCGTCATTAATGCTGGAGATGTAGAGCACAAGTCCCACCACCAGACTGAGGCCTGCACACAGCACATTAACAATGACAGAGAGTCAGATACAAGGGAGAGCAAGGAGGTCATTATATGGCAATCCAGACAGCTGCACCAGTGTGGTGAGGGTTTAAGAGACAGAGAGGGAGAGATATGATGTGGAGTGATCACACCAAGCAATTAGCCTCCAAAATGCTAACATTAATAAAGAGACTGGAGAAGGAGAAGAGAGACAGCGTTTACGTATGTATGATAATGACAGATAGAGATAACGATGGATTACTTCCACAAATGAAAAACAATGTATAGGTTATTAATGAAAATAGGTTAAAGGGAAGACTTGTTTTATAGAAGAGAGCAGTTATTTTATTAAAATAAATAAATAAATACTTTGTATAAGTGTGTTGCTGCCCTTCACTTCACCAAAATACATTTTGAGGGAAACAATTTCCACCTGGATTATGTTCAAGTGTAGGAAGCTCTGCCTTTTTAATCATAGGTTAACGAGTGGTTAAGTTTAGGAGACAAATCACTTTGGTTAAGGAAAGATTGTGGTTTCAGTTAAATGTAGAAAAGTAAACACACCGTGTCTCATGTTTAAATCACTTTCAGCTTCTTCAGAATTTAACCCCAACACCACACCACCATCTTTACCTTAACTAAGCGCTTTGAATGTCTGAGCATTTCCATAAATAAGTTTTAAGCAGATGTTGTATTGCAGGGTATTCCAAGGTAAAACAAATGAAATTTGGATATCCATTTAAACATAACTAAACGATATTTTGTGCCTTTAAGTTAACTGTCTCATTGTATTTGTGAATTTGTACATTTATAATTTTTTTCTTTAGCAATAAAGATATGTTTAAAAAGAGATTAAAGAGGATTAAAAGGAAGTACAAATGTGGAAGTGGCTTGACGCAGTTTTAAAGACCATTTAGTAAGAAGCTACATGCAGCTTCCACCAGAATAGGCTTTTCACCCAGAAGCAACACATACAACATTAAACCCCCCTCTTCTTCCAGGAACATTGACATGCTCTATACGCTGCCTCAGAAATGTTAAATGCATGAGATACAACATATGGCCAACATTGAAGAATCAATATTCAAAGAAAGCTGCATGCTGTAAGCAGCGAATATGAGTATTTTTAGCTTTCGCTGCAATATTCAAATGTACCACAGGGCTGTCAAGCGGTTATGTCCTTTACATGAATGGTCGGTTTAAGAGGTTGTGTTGTCGATTTAAAATTGAAAAGCATGGGAAATGCAGAAACCATGCTGCTGTCAATCCTGTGGTGGAAGTACATCTTTATCTAAATAAGTAACAGCTCAAAACTGAGGGAAACACACTTGCACGAGTACACTGAGAGCAAATGAAAGAAGAGAAAGTGTGAGACAAAAGGGAGAAAAATTTGGAAATAAATGAAGTGTCTGCAAGTACAAATGCTTTTGCAAGATGTCTGTGGTGTGTTTGCCAGAGGAAGAGAAGAGAGAAACTCTGTCTGAGCTTCAACAGCTGTGGCTCCTACTGTGTCTTTCTGCTGCTGCTCTGAATTGTGTAATATTAACCAGAACACAGCCGACCCAAACTACAATATTTATCAGACCACTGTGTCAGTGATGCCAGCAGAATGGGCTCATATCACTCTATAGTCCACAAAAAACCACCACAGTGGTCCACAGTGACTCAGAACACTGAAAGAATATACTCTGAATGAAGGAGTGAGTAGGAAGTGAGAGGAAGGAGAGTGACTGAGAGGGGGGGGAACGGAAAAAGCAAAGAAATCTGAGAGGCTGCATGAACAAGAGAGGGGGGAGGCAGAGGGAGGAGGGGAGTGGGTGAGCAGTGTTTCAAGAGAGAGGCTTAGTGCAGCAGAATATCCAACTGCTGAGAAGCAATTTGATACACTTGCCCCTTTATTATCATCCTATTATCAAAATACCTCATAAAGTAAAAGACTGCGACACTTCCAGCACAGGCTATAAACATTACATAACCCCCATTACATAACACCTATTATTCTGCAACACCCTTTATCAGCAAGTCCCTGCTATGCAGAGTGGGAGCTGTCGTATCAGACTGTGTTTGATGCTCCTCTGAGCTCTGCGGCTCTGCTTCCTTCTCAAACGTGTCGAGTGAAACAGCCTTCAGAGAACATGAGCTCCAATTTGGCTCCTGACAGTCTTTACTCCGCACACTGAGCACAAGAAATGGGAGCATTACAGCCACCTGCTGTTCAAGAGGGTTAACTACACTAATGCAGAAATTCCTGCTGAAAAACTGCTGAAGGAAAATTTCATGTTTTTTTCCACATTTTTTCCATTATATTTCATGGAAATCTGAGGAAAGCCTGTTCGTACCAGTGACGTCAATTTTATTCCAGAGTGAGGCAAAGTCAGAGGAGCAGAAAACTCACCTTGCAGGAGTCATGAAGACTAATCTCATCACCTTTCCTGATGACAGTCCACACACCTGCATCATACACTAAAAATAGAGCCATGATGGAGTGTCTCCATGTGTGACACAGGACACACCAGGCAGTGGTAATCAATCACAGAGTGAGGGAGTGGTGACAGCCAGACATGAGTAATGGGGTCCCACCTGAGAGGATAAAGAAGATGCCGGACACAAAGGCCAGGATGGTGCGCTGAGGCCGGATGTGTCCGATGTTACTGATGACGAAGGCCGTGAAGACAAAGAGCAGCGACACCATCGGAAAGGGTGTGGCTGTACGCACCATCTCTGTGGGGAACAGAGAGGTCACAGTGTTAAACAAAGCTGATGGGACGTGTCCTTTAACTGCCGGGAGGGTGAATGATAATGTGTCAGGACATTAATAACCATAAAACCTTTATATAAGGTATCCACAGTCATGCAGTGATGCACCTCTGAAATAGGGGATGGGAAACTACATTTTCTTTCTTACAATAGTCTTTATTTCTCAGTGTTCGACCAAATCTCAACGGGATTCATTTAGAGCGAAGACTCCAAATGCTTTGTAGCCACTGGAAACAGAGTGATGATGTAAAATGTTACGAAGAGGCTACAAAGAAAAACATTGAAAAGTAGCTGTGCCAGCTGAATTACAGAGAAACATTAAAGAATTCCAGCTTTTCCTTTATTCCTTATTATTTTTTCTCTATTTCAGTTCTGTAGCAAAGGATATTCAGTAGTGCCTGAAGCTATAAAGTGAAATATAACCTACAACCTTGCAACCCTGCATATTATTTACTGTTTGAAAAAGTAATGATAAAATCTCTTGTTCAAATTATTATTACTTACACACAATCTAATTCATTTTTTATTTGCCATTTAAATTGAACTCTTGTTTACCCAGGCCAATAACTTCAAGACAGTATTTTGTCTATAAGAATCTCCTGGCTTTTCTAACTCACTTTCTTAAAGCAGTTCATCCAATTACTTTTGGGAGGAAAAAGTAATATTAGCGCAGCAGCTAATGATTAGTTTCACAATTTATTATTGTGTCAATAATTTTCACAATTAATTAATTAATTGTTTATTCTGAGAAACATCAGAAAAACTGTGATGTGTGCCGTCAAATGTCCTTTCGGTTTTCCCAGAATTTAAGGTGACGTCTTCAAATATCTTGTTTTGTCCAAGCAACTGTCCAAAACCCAAATACATTCAGTTTACGATAATATGAAACAGAGAACAGCAGCAAATTCTCCCACTGAAGAAACTGCAACCAGGAATGCTGGCACGGTTTCTTTAAAAAGAAAAATGACTGGAGACAATTGATCAATTATCAAAAGAGCTGCAGGTTAATTTTCTGTTGATTAATGAATCACCTTTCCTCTGAAATTATGATCCAATGTTAGTACCCACGATCAATCAGCAGGGGGACTCTGCGGTTACTCACAGCTACAGCAGAAGATGTGTGATATCACTGAGTATGTTGTTGTATGTTTTACTCACTTAGGATGTTTGCAGTGTTTTCAGTGGTGATCTCTATGTCGGGTTCGGTGAAGTACTCTGATGCAACACATCTCCCATTTTCTGATCCTGTGAGGAAACACACAGAAAATGAATAAATAAATAAAAATATTAGGGTTTGCTTTTAGGATCAAAGTCAGTGATGCGTGAAGAAACAAAACAAAACCAGAATAAAGCATGTGGGTCTCTGCAGTCCTGCTCACAGGTAACGATCATGTTTTGTGACAGCTATGATTTCAGAGGCCAGAAGCTCGCTCGCCCTCTTTTCTCCCCTTCCTGCTCTCTCACTCTGTCTACCTCTCTCTGGGTGTTTTGCTCCTGTAACGATGTGTACATATGCACACACACATAGCAGCGCTGTTTGGACTGCTTTGTGTGTTTGTGTCTCAGAATGTGCACACGTATCTATCTTCTATAGTCATCCTTTAATTTTTGAAGATTCAAACATGCCGTTGTATCGTCCTACCAGCCACGAAGCATACTCTCCAGAGGCCTGAATGCAGCGCCATCTTCACCTCCATGCTCTGGTTCTGCTGCAGGATGATGCCCTCCACCATGATCAGCCAGTAGTCTGTGGACACGGCCACCCCCACCAGCAGCAGCCCGCAGGCTCCGAACACTGTGGACAGGATGGTCAACGCACGGCTGCTGCACGAACTCATCTGGGGGGCAGAGCGAGGGAGCGAGGGGTGTTAGAGGAGGAGAGGAAATGCACGTCAAAAACTGAAGAGTCAAAAATGTAGGTAAAATCGGAAGGGGTCATGGATGGGAGGTCATTAGGAGCAGGGACACACTGAGAGAGAGACATGTGATGTGCACTCATGCAAACAGCTACTGGCTATTTTCCTGTCTTGCCTTGTTATTGCTAAAGATGAGTTAGTGACACATCCACTGGCAACCAATCCTGTTAAAGGTCAGAGAGGAGCCACTGCAACAGATGATGACTTCACGGTAAACCACTGAAGTTAGGCAAAGACTTGAAAAACTGAAAGATAGATAGTAAAAAAAAAAAAAAACATACACATACACACAAAGATCAGGGAGGGGGGTAGAGGTCCTGTGTGACTCACACATGGTCTTTCTGTGACTTAGTTCCGGTTGACTGGGAAAGACTTCACTGCAGATCCTTTGAGCACGCTGTCTGTATGAATTTGTGAGTTTCTGTGCACGTGTTTGTGTGTGCATGTGTGTGTGTGCATGTGTGTGTGTGATTGTTCAGCTACTATAGGCTCTGCTTAATTTGGACCTCTGTTCAGTATCATCAGCTTGACAAGTAATGGAGAGTAAATGCATATGGGAAACACAGAGCCGGGTTGCTGTTTACTGTAATCACCCTCATTTTGTTGCGTTATATAGCACATTATGTGTCACTAAAGGAGGATCATTACTGTAATGGAGCTGACCTGTCATTTCACCTCATATCTTCCATTGTGAGAAGTTGGTTTCGCTTTCACTTTGTATATTTTCAGATGTTGGAGTCTGAGTATGAGGGCTAACCAAGTGTTTTACTCTGTGTTTCACATGTTAACTCTCGCTAGCTGCAGACTTTGTTGTTGTTACATACATGCTGTGACTTTCACATTGTATCTCATAGACTGTGCTGGTCATTAAAGTTCATTAAAGTCACCACATATGAAATGTGACACAGTAATAACTGGCTGGAAGAACCCAGTTATGGCCATGAAGCAATGAATGAACCTGCTTAGCAACAGATACACACACTGCACTGTCTACAACCTGAACTGGAGACAAGAGGCACTGATATTTGTTGCAGCAGGAAATGTTTTTCACCTCTAAGTTGTCCAGTTTGGGTGATCACCTAACAGCTGCAGCTTCATCCTCCTGTTCACACAGAAGCTGACACGAGTCAAATCAGACATGTTCTTCTGCTGATGTACCGCAGCTGCATCAAGGTTTGAAAAGATGTGTGTTTGAGCTTTGCCACTGCATATCGCTGTTGTGCTGAGCTGCTCATTTGCATACTTGTGGCCTGCCTATTTGACTTGTCATTCATAAAAGCTTCACAGTGCTGCAGCTGACCAGATTCACAGGTCAAATATTCAAAAGCACATAATTCACTAACACGGAACCTGATAGACCCTGACCTTCTGTACCATCTTTGCATAAAGATAAAATACATCATTTATAGGGTTACCAATTAATTTAACACCAACCATTTATCAGGCACTTAAGAAAGCTTTAACAACAGAAAATGCCAAATGAATGACTAAAACATGAGAACCACTTTACTCTTCTTCTGTTCTTTCTTTGTATGACAAACCTTTGAGTCTTTGAAGAGCCGGGTTATAATAGAAACATTAATTCTAGCGGGGAATAAACTCTTAAAGATTAAGCCTGGCCTCATCTTATCTGGACAGCCACTGCGCGAGACGTGACCGCTATAGAAGTAAGTCGAGTTTCTATGCAGCTGCGGGGATGAATAGAGCTTCTTTTGTGAGCACGGCACAAGAATGATGTGTAAGAACAGAGCTGGCTGGTGGTAAAGGGTATGCGTACAAGAAATCCTCAGAGATATGACAAGTTTGCGCTTGTTAAGGCTGAAAGAAGCAGATGAAGCACGGCGAAGCAGATGGACAGATGGACAAACAGAGCAAATGAAAGCTGTAAAATCAGAGAACTGAAATGACAGAGCTAAAGCACTTTAGTACCTATGTAACTGATGTAATCCATTTTGACCTTTTCATGCTATCATCACATGTATGTTTCTTGTGTAGGTGACATGTGTGTGTCGTCAGGTATGGAATGAAAACTGGAAAAGTCTATTTCTAAGAAGAGAAAGTACATCTGTTCACAATAACACCCGATTCTAAGAAGTGACTATTATTGGACAAGAAGTGTTAGACACTGACAAGGTGCGAGACAGGGGTTGCAGAAGAGTCACTCACGAGTCATGCAAAGGTCACATATGTATGGTAAGTTGCTATTTGTTCTCTGAAGATTGCATTGATTTTTATATGTGTCACACCAGTTCCATTAATTTTCCATCTTTTGTCTTCTTTAATCAGCGGTTGTGAATCGTGCAGCAGCCCCAGAAGTGGCCATTACTGTTGCTGACACAGGGACTGGAGGACAAGAAGAGAAGACAGGGGTGAGACCAGAGGTTGGCTCAAGAAGCGGTGGGGAAGAGTTTGAGCCAGTGTGAATGAGAGAGTCTGAAGTAGAGTCGCTGTTAAATCAAAAACAACTCACTGAAATGACACATAAGTGAAGGCACAGAGGGGTGGGGGGGTAAAGAGCAGGGAGCAGAGAGGAGTGGGACTCAGGGATGAACAATCACACCTTCCAGCAGTTGGAGGATGTGCCAAAGTGGTCAGGAGCGAATGTGAATCAATTGGAGTTGCAACACTGCAGAAATGAGTGGATGTGCCTGAGTGGCTCCTCCAGACTTGTTCAGCACCGCGGACAGCTCCCTCATCTCTCTCACAGACTGCCAGTCAAACAGCAAACACAACAACCACCCCACAGACCAAACACATCAGCTGGTTTATCGTGGATTTGGACCAACGTGAGGGGAACAAATTCGCCTCCTTTCTACTCACATCACCCCCCCACCCCACCCCCCCCCTAAAAAAATCCTCTACAGAACTGCTGCAGCTTTTGGAGAAATAGCCATTGTAGACTTGGGATTGAGATTGAGTGAAAAAAAAAAATCAGTTTCCCTGTTAGATTTGTGATAACAATCCCATTTTAGCGCTGTGAGATTGGCTCCACAGTTCCCTCACCCAGAAAGTAATGAGCCAATTGAATTGGTTAGATAGGAGCCATGAGGGGGACAAAAGGTTTAATTCTCTCTAATCTGTCACAATCTACAGACTGACATCACCTCTCAGCCTGTCAGGAAAGAGAGACACCCAGAGAAAGAGGGAGTGACGGAGGAGAGGAGAGGATATGGAGATGTGAAGGAAGCAGAGAGGGGGGGATGAAAACTATGTTTGCACAGTCTTTAAGGCGGGAACAGAAAGACCTTGGCCCAAAAAATGGAGGGAGTACCCAACATGGACGCGCATGCACGAACGGGAACGCGCCTACACCTGGGCTAAAACTAACCAGCCTTGATTGTGCAGCGTATCAAAAAAAAAAAAAAAGGGACTGCTGCTTGAAAGGGACGATGGATTCACTCAGCAGAAAATAAATAAATGACTTCATAACGACTAAACGGCTGATATCGTGACTCAGTGGGTGGGTTTGGTTTGCTCATGATTTCTGCGCTGCCTGCACACACTCACAAAACTCGCAGCGTTTTCACGGAGCCGAGCGGATAGTTACAACATGCACAGTTTCCTGTTCATCACATGTATGTAAAACAGCATCAGCATCCTGGCGGAGGTCTGAATGAAGCAGTGATGTGCGCATAGGATTGTTTGCACCCCCACCAACCCCCCCACTCCCCACCCCCCTCACACACACTCACACGCGGAGTTTGGAGATGATAAACAGAGCAGGGAACATGTGAGCGACTCAGACGTACAATTGGGATGAAATTAAGAACAAATAATAACAATAAAAGCTGTTTAACGGTTTGATTTCAGGCAACATTTGACTGATTTTTTTTAATCTGTGGTCTCAGCTGAAGATGAGACGCGAACACGACATGAGGACACGTTAGGAATGCTGCTCTTCTCAAAGCTGTCATCACACACACACACACACACGTATATGTATATACATCTAAAATGACTAAGTCAGGCTGAAAAGGCGTCGTCATCACAATTACTGCCAGAAAACACACACATACACACACAGAGAGAAGTGTTATTCAAAAGGAAAAATACTCACCCTGCCACGAGAGTCGTGCGCACACGTCAGTAGCCAAGAAACCTCACACCAGGGAGGCTTGGTGGATTTTAGTCTTTCTCTCTCTTTTCCCCCCTCTCTCTCTCTTTCTCTCTCTCTTTCCCCCCACCTCTCTCGTCCTCTCTCTCTCTTCTGTGTGTTTACCCTTAAGCCCCCTTACCCATCCTCTAAATCCCTCACTCTCTCTTTCACTCAATCTGTCCCAGGCACTGCGGTGGATCGGTTCAGCGAGCTACTTTGGCTACAAGAGAGACATACTGTAGCGAGAGCAGGAGGGAGAAGTGTTGGAGAGAGGGAGAGAGAGAGGGAGAGAGGGAGAGAGAGGGAGAGAGAGGGAGGGAGGGAGGGAGGGGGAGAGAGAGAGAGTGAGAGAGAGAGAGAAAGAGAGGGGGGGTCAAACTACTACATCTCTTCCTATCACACAAATCCTTTTTAAATAATGTTTTTCTTTCATTAAAGTATACTTTGCAGTATTCTAGTTGTATAGTGTTGAATACTGTAGTATTTGTTGCATGGTGTGTATAGAGTCCTGTCTTTCTTTATCTATGTTATTGGTTTTATTAATAGGCCTAAGTCACTTTTATTTCTTGTGAACATTAAATTCTTTTACCATTTGTTCTGCCTTATGATCGCAGCTCATCAGTCTTTATTAAAACTATTACAACTGCATTATCCAGTACAAAAAGAGCTACACAAAACGTTTGATTTCTTACATTTATAAGTTATGTCTCTTGTTTTATAAACCTAATGCCTACAACCTGCTTTGGCAGCGCTCATCCTGCCCATAAAGTAAAATTCAATTAGAAAAAGTCAGTTCGAGAGGCAGAGAGTTATGGGGAGAAGGGGCAGGGAGTTGGATTTGGAGTGGAGAGGGGGGATGCAGGCTGCAAACTTTAGTCCAAATTACACAGGTTTACAGAAGTGAGTATCAGGTGGAAGTGGAAAACACTAAGTAGCTGTAGTTCATTCAAGTCATGGTCAAACACTTTCATTTAACCCCACATTGAATACAGGTGAACAGCAGCAAAGTAGCACAGCTTATAGCCTCTCTCTCCCTCTTTTCCTGTCTCTCTTCATCTCTCTCTTCTTCTCCTTCTTGCCCCCACCTCCTTAGTCTCCTGTGGTCCATGTCCCTTGCTCTATTTTTAGCCGGCTGGTGGAGGAATCCTATATTTTTAGTAACGATATCAATAGTCTACAGCACACTCTGACCTCAGGGCATGAGCGTGAGAGTGAGAGAGAGAGAGAGAGAGAGAGAGAGAGAGAGAGAGAGAGAGGGTGGGGGGTGAGAATGAGAGATTAAGGCGAGATAGAGGAGGGATGGAGATAGAAGAAGAGGAGGCAGCAGTGAAGAAGAGGGATGATATCATGTCACAGTGACAGTGAGTGATGGACTGCACACACACAAGTGAGCGCTGGAGGTTCAGTTACACAAAGGCAGATACTGTCAAGGTTGGAGTAAAGGTTGTTGTGAGGAGTTTTTAAATGTCAGGTGTACAAAAAGACAAAAGTAGGATTTATCTCTTATCTCTTTATCTCTAAGTGTGAAATGTTTTATTTTTATTTTTTAAAGATGCCACATTTAAGTGTGAAATGCATCAATTTGATTCTATTCATTGCTATATTGTAGGTTAGAAACACATCACAGGCTACTAAAGAACCTCATCTGCCACTATAAAAGATATCTACATTCATTTCCTCATCAGTATGAAAGTCAGCATATAAGAGTCACACATCTCGACATGAATTATAGACACACAAAGGACATCAGGACACATTTTCTCTCCAAAAGTGGGATGTTTGACAGAAAAAATACACTTTTACATTAGTTTGTTTCTCAGATTACATAATGGTGCAAACTTGGTTTAGCTGGGTCTCCATCCCTCTCACACTTTCACTGCCTCGTACGCCATTAGTTGAGAATATAAAGTGTAAAACAGATCATAATATTGATGTAGAGGCCGAGAGAAGACAAGACACGACAAAACGAGATACTTGTATCAACAGACACCCAGCGGGAAGTACTTCAAGGAGATAATAGCAACGACAATAAATTCTGCCACCATAATTTATAGAGAATGACATTAAACAACACAGTAAAGCATTTACAGTGCAGCACTGGCAGAAAAGTCAAGCAGAGAAGAAGAGAGATGAAGGGCAGATAAAGAGGAAGAGAGGGAGGTAGAGAGGGAGATGGGAAGCTGATGAGATTTTAATGTGAAGGTCAACTTGTTATAACTCAGATCTCTACGGGGATATTAGTCCCATCATGATGCTGGGGGGGGGGGGGGGGGGCAGATGGGGGGGGGGGGGTTGGAGGAGGAGGAGGAGAAGCTGCTTCGGAGGAGGAGGGATGCCCGAGAGGTGGTTTTGCTGGTTCGACAACTAGAGTACCACAGTAAATAGAGGGGTCAGCATCTTCTGTGCGTGTGTGTAAAAGCATGCGAGCGTGTGCACATGCTTGAGGTTGCACTTTTGAGTGTGAGTATGTGTGAAAGGCGAGGGAGAAGGGAGTGAGCGTGACAGAGAGGCGTGTGGAGAAGACAAAGCGAGAGGCTGAGCCTGTTTGTTTCTCAGCAGCTTCACACAAACATCACAGAATGAAACACTTGTTCTTGTTTAATGACTTTTTTACTGACTTTATTTCAATGTCGTTTTTCCAGCACATGAAAACAGAAATTGACTCAACTAACAAATACATAAATTATCTACTGCATTATCTATAACTGATTGTATTATCTAACGTATATACCGTATTGAAGTATTGTGTGTTGTGACATTTGACCTTAAGATAAACTGAGAGATTGACTGCTCTGACCTTTTACATTTGGCCACAATTACAGGGGCACAAACATCTGCACTGAAAACAAAACTGTAAGATTTTGCTCCTCCAGATGAGAAATGATTGTAGTTATCATTATGCTGACACAGAATGTAGTCAAAAAAAAAAACAGTAATAATAATAATAATAATAATAATAATAGAAATGCATTAAGGGAACTCAAACAGATTTCTGTGTGAAATGAGCAGCTGGTTTGTGAGATAAGAGCTCTGAAATGGGATTATTAAACTGTGTGTTTGCAGCCACCTGCCCTGCTCAGATAGTGTTTAATGACAGTGCTGCTATTATTTTTCCATGTATTGAACAGTCCCAGTGAGCCTCGCTTTTAATTACGTCCTAATCAATGCTGTGAATACGTCATTACACAGCAAAACGCTTTATGGTATACACCACTAAAATAATATAGTATCTATACCTGTGCAAACTAACAAGGCTCTTGTTTTAGCTGCAGAAAACTTTACTAAAAGGCATATTTTCTAAAACTGCAAACAGATAATTCAGTGCAAATGTCAGCTGTCAATAAGAGTGCATATACTGTAATTTGCAAGGCCTAATTCCACAGTTTGCGCAGGAATAATAGAAAAAAACACATCAATTTGTAAATAAAAAATGATGTGAGCCAAACTGTGGCGGCAATGTGAGGACCTCCTCCTGGTGATAAAAGAGTCAGGCAGAGTGGGCCTGAGCTGGGGGGTGGGAGGAGTGGGGGCAGCGCTGCAGCCTACATTAACTGTCACATTGTGCCCGCTGCACTGTTGCAGCGTCTCAGCGGGTCCTCCGAGGTCACTGGTGTGACGTTAAACTGGGAGGTCCTGCCAGGCCAGAGGAACCTGACTGAGCGCTTCCACAGGATGCCAAAAGATTAAAAATGGCTACCACTCAGTTTGCATCATAGTCAAAGTGTCAACAGTCAGACACACAATGAGATAGATATTTAGGATTACAGTGCTTCTGATGCTGAGTTACTGTAATGTGTGTGTACCTAGGAAACTTCTTTAGTCATGAACTGCAAAGGGATTCAAAAGTGACAGACTTGTTTTTTGCCTACTACCTGGATTTCTTTACCAGAGCTGAATGAGAAAAGACCTGACTGGAAAAATGTAATTGTTTGGTTTCTCACAACACAAGATGATTCTAATCAAAGCAATCAAAAATGGTTTAAATAAATTGGGTGTAACGTTATATATCATTCTTGGATAATCTATACTAGTGTCTGAACGTAATTCATTCTAAAAACACTGCATGCATACAGATGAAGTAATCATACTACAGTATTCTTATATCAAGTTAAGGGAGGTCTTACAAAAAACTCTAAGATGGCAATCTAGGATATCGGTATTGTTTGCATTGTTGCAACATATTCTGTGACTATCAAGATGAAATACATACATCGAAGAGATTGCATGGGTATAAAGGTGTCTTGGCATTTTCATGTAAACGTCAGAATTTGGTAATGAGAGGTGTCAGATGTTCAAATTCTCTGTAATAAAACTACTTGTAAGGGGATAACAGGGCAGTTTGGGTGCACTTGGAGGGGTGGTGGGAGCTATTTTCAAACAGCAGTGAGAGGCGAGGGGGCAAAGTCTGGGTTGAGGAAGGAGAAGCCCTCAAAGTCTTCCTGGTTCATGGCTGCTAGTATCTCCGGGTCAGAGGGAGTGAGTGCTGACGGAGCTGCTGTGAAGAACTTGTCAAAGTTTTCCCCTTTTTTTCCACCCTGAAGAAGAAGAAGAAGAAGAAGAAGAAGAAGAAGAAGAAGAAGAAGAAGAAGGAGAAAGAAGCATGTACACACGAGATTAAGATAAGGATGCATATGCACACGTGAATGTATCCACATGAAGCTTTTCCTCCTGAAAAAGAGACACAAAATAAGAAAAGTTAAATTATAAAAAGAATCCACCTCCGCATCTCTATTTCTCACCCACAGCCTCACTTTCTCTCGAAGGAGCTCTACCACACCTAATGTAGGAGGAAAGCTGCTCACGTCTCTTCTCCTCCTCCTTAACAGCGTATGACAGCCGTTCTGCTGGATGATATGAATCTCATTTAGCTAATGGGCCTGGCCTCTAACCCCTGAGCATACCCAGCTCACTCAAGGCACCCCACACCATTGGCCAGCAGGCCCACAAACTGGTGTGTGGCAGGCTAATGATGACACACATTTGCATATGGGAGGGGGAGGCAGGACCCCAAGGTCAGAGGGTCCTGTCTGTTATGACTGGACTGTCTGCTGTTGCCCATCTCTAGGAACCAGCAGAGGTGATGGAAGAGAGAAATCGGAGGGGAATGGGGGAGAGATAGGGAGGGAGGGACAAGGAGGAGAAGAGGGGATGAAATGGCCCACACAAAGTGGATGGCTGAGAGAGGAAACGCGCAGGGAAGTGAGGGAAAGCGTGGGAGTCGGAGAGAGAGAGAGAGGAGACAGATGGAAGAAAGTGACAGCTTCAATTCCCTAAAAATGTCCTCAGAGAGACGGAGAAAGAAAGAAAGTAAGAGAGGAGGAGGAGAGAGGAGAGCAGAAAGAAAGAAAGAAAGAAAGAAAGAAAGAAAGAAAGAAGGAAACTGACAGTTCTGGGTTTGAAGGGCGCCTGGATCTCCAGTCTCTCCAGACGATCCCAGTCAATCCAGCGGAAGAACGGATGCTCCCTGATCTCTCTCTCTGCTTCCTCTCCTCCACCCAGACGCTTGGCCGGGTGCTTCGTCAGGAGCTGCATAAGAGTGAGGAAAGGGAGGGAAACATGACTATAGTCAGGGGATAAAGCTTTGCTGTATTTTTTTTTCTATTTTTTTCAAAAGTGTTTTAAATGTAATATTGTGTAATTTTTGTTATTTAAATACACGTTTATCTCGACAGACAGATATTAGAGTCTTCTCATATAACTCTTAACAAGAAAGGAAATGTGCAAATTTTCTAAAATGTTGAACTGAAGTTTTTCTGTATGTTTGAAGGTATTTTTATAGATGTAATATGATGTAATTTCACGTAATTTTTCTGACTTAGATATGTATTTATATTCACCGTCTGCGTGCTAAAGGTTATATGAGTAAAGAGAAAATGAAAAGTGACTCACTCCCTTGCAGATAGCGACAGCTTCACGGGAGAGACTTTTTGGGTATGAGACACACTGCTCCATGATGGACTGAAACAGCTCCTCCTCATCAATACCATCAAATGGTGGCTAGAAGGAAAAAAAAGAGAGAGAAGTTAAAAAAAAGAAGAGTAGCCATGAGGATCTGTGGGCAAACTGAAAGCAAATATATTGAAATTAAAGTTCTCTTGAACGTCTTTTGAAGTGATTACAAAGGACAAGCACTGGAGGCTTAAGTATCTGCGCACACGGCTCTATTGTTAGGATTAAGCTGAGTGTTACCTGTCCTGCCAGCATTTCATACAGCAGTACTCCGTAAGACCACCAGTCCACTGCTTTATTATAAGGCTGATATGCCACAATCTGCAAAGGACGGAGAGAAAAGAAGAGGCGATAAAAGGAGAAGAATGGCAGCGCAGAGATAAGGAAGTAAAAAGAAGACAGGGAGAGTGGGAGAAAGCAGAGTTGTAACAGTCGGCTGCTGCGACGGTGCACAGCCGGAGTGAAACGCTGAGAGAGAGAGAGAAAGGAAAAGAGAAAGTATGGCATTAGGGAGGGTAAACGTATGAATAAGCTCAGAAATAATCAACACATGACTTTGGATTTGTGTTTGTGTTAGCCTGCTTGTCTGTGTGTGTGTGTGTGTGTGTGTGTGTGTGGGTGCGCGCGTGTGTGTGTGTGTGTGTGTGTGTCGGTGCACATGTGTGTGTGTGTGTGTGTGTGTGTAGGTGCACGTGTGTGTGTGTGTGTGTATGCGTGCGTGTGTGCAGGGAGGGGGGGTAATTATGAGGGAACAATCCCCTGCCCCTGGGGAAATATATTGTATCTCTTCCAAAATGGCAGATGCAGGAGAATCAATGGGTGTTTACATAAGAGAGTCAATACCCAGGGGTCCCATAGCAAGGTTTACAATATCAAAGACGTGCACAACAGTCACATCCGCTCTTTCTCTCTCTACTGCATCTGTCTACTACAAGTCAACAAACCCAACAATCTCCTTCACACTTTCTCTGAATTAATTTGTTTATGATCGCTTCACACAGAAACATACTCACAAACATATTTCAGAAAATTTGTAAGGTAAACATTATACAGGAAATTGAAATTTTACATATCAAAAGGGTGTCATGCAAAACCACCTCGAATGTTTTCAGCATTTCATAAGAGCAGATACTTGCACTGACATCGATTACATCCTTTTCAGACACTTAACTTAGTTTTCAGGGGTTTGCCTCGCTCACAGAGGACGATGTAAACATTACATTTTCAATTCTGTCTCAAAACAATAGCTAGGTGTCCATATGAACACTGAAACAGGTTTTGATTGCTACAGAACGATCGTACTGGCCATTAAGAGATATTTTCCATACACATTACACATTACATATATGCTTCCAATGTATGTAATGGCAGACTCCATCCACAGTCCTCTGTCTGTGTAAAAATACATTGCAAACTTTCAAAGAGGTATCAGCGGTCTGAGTTCAACAAATCAAGTGGGTATCATCCAAAGTTACAGTCCTGTTAATACAAAGTTCCCTCTTTTTCCATCCCTCCTCCACAGCTCAGCACAGACACAAAGCCAGGGGAAACACAAAGAGGGGATTTTGTACAAAATGGGTCGTAACTTTGATTGATACCCACTTGAGGTGACGAACTGACTGTTGAAGCCTCATATTAGTGTCAAATAAACTTTGGGACTGGGGGTTTTGTCCTCATCATGTTCCCACTACACTGGAAGCATTTTAGAGAAGGATCTCTTAATGGCATGCATGAACAGGAGGAATGATTACAGCAAACAAAAACTCTTTCAGTGCACCCGAGGGTACCTGAATATTATTTAATCACAGACTTGACAAAAAGTGTTAAGTTACATTTGTCAGTTGCAGTAAGAGAAAGGCAAAACTGGTAATACAAGGTCTCTGAAGGACAACCACGATTACCGTGCAATGCTCTGATAGCACGAGCACACACTGCTGCTAATTGAATCATGAGAAGTTAATTATTCAAAAATGCTGACAAGGTCAGAGAGGACGGTGGAGATGAGAGGAGCTGCGGCGAAGCAACTTGCCGTCTCACAACGCTGCGAAAAACAGGTCAAGCAAACAACGAGGGGTGAAACAAGAGGAAATGAGGGATCTAAGGAACAAATGAGGGAAGTTTCAGGTGAGATTGTGGGGGGGGGGGCAGTGTACCTCAGGGGCGATGTAGTCGGGGGTGCCACAGAAGGTGCGAGTGGTGTCGCCCTCGAACATGCCCTCCCTGCACATCCCGAAGTCGGCTATTTTTATGTGGCCCTCACTGTCAAGCAGCACATTATCCAGCTTTAGATCCCTGGGAGAGAAGTAGATAGATCACACTGGTATGAATCATCTTGATAGATAACATCTTTATACCAGTCATTATCTACAAAAGACATGATGAATCTGTGTCATGTCTGCGTGCTGCACTGCAGAGTGCCAGTGACAGCACCAAACCAGGCCATGCTAGAGGAGCAGCCCACTGCTTTACCTGTAGATGATGCCTTTGCTGTGGAGGAAGAAGAGGCCGACCGCTATTTCTGCTGCATAAAACCTGGTGGGAGAGGAGGGGTGGGGGGTGGAGGGGAGGGGGGACTCACTACTGGTTGCTTTAGGGTTTTCAGCTAATTCAAAAGAGGTTGATGACAAGAAGAGAGGAGAGAGGAGAGAGCGAATGGAGCTTGAGAGGGTGATGAAAGGGAGAGCAACCAAATAGATGAAAGGCAGAGAGATGAAGAAAGAGAGCTGGAAATGAGCAACAGGGTAAAAATTAGTTTTAGATGATTGATCAAAGATTATTGATAAGATGAACAGCCAGGGGGAGGGAAAATGTAGATGAAAAGATCAGATTAGTGGGAGGAGAAACTCGGCGGTGGAGGGGGGGTGGTACTTGAGTTGATGAGTTTTTAGGAGTCACCAGGTGTAATGAACAAAGCTAAGAGATGAGTATGTATGTGAAGGAACAGAGAAGAAAAAAAGACAGGAAATGAGACGCTGTAGATGAGGACTGTGATTAAAGGTAAAAGAAAGGAGCTTTTTAACTACATACGCTGCGTGAGGCTCTTTGAACTTGCCAACTATCTGAATGTGAAACATCAGGTCTCCTCCGTTGACGTATTCCATCACATAATACAGACGGTCCTGCAACACACACACACATATATACACACTCTCTATACATAATGACCTCTTGTCCAAATTAAAAAGCAATCTGTTAAAACCCCTCCTCCAGGACCAAGGACCTTGTTAAAGAAAGCAAGCTAATTATTTCATTTATTAATCGAAATTCACAGCCAACCTGGACTGAAACAACTCCTGGGAGGACTGTGCAGACAGAATGTCAGGCGAGTTTATGGACAATTTAATGAAAGTTGTGTGTGGTTCATTTGAGACTGACCCTGCACACCTTCTACACACAGACACACACACACAGATGTGCACACACCTCAGTCTGGAAGGCGCAGTAGAGCGATGTGAGGAAGTGCGGGCGAGAGGAGAGCCCCAGGACCCTCCTCTCCACCAGGGCGCTCTCCGTGTCCTCGTCCTGGAAGAGAACGTCTTTCTTCAGCACTTTCACCGCGAACAGACGCTCGCTGCCTCGCTCCTCCGCCAGCAGCACCTGTGCAGCAACACAGAGAGGAGAGACGAAGCGACTGCGATAAGAATTTTAAAGGGGGCTACTGTATGTCTTTCAACTGCCGCCATCCATAAATAAACAAAATTTTTATTTATAGACACTGCACCAACTGTCTGGCACCAAGAAAAGCAAAATTGATTTTTTCCAAAATTCCTCTTAAGGTTTACACAGCTGCAGTGAGCATCAAATTGGGCCTGCTGTGTTTTTTTTTTTGTTTTTGTTTTTTTCTTTAATTGCATTCACACAAAATGTATTCAAACTCAACAGTGTTCAAAACTCTTGAATGCATCTTCCCTCATTCAAGCTTTATACATGTACTGTCCTGTAACGCTGCCAGGTCTGAGTGTTCTGCAGGTCATTGTGTTTTGAATTACAAGGTGCCGTTTAATAAAACAATCTGCTTTTAAAGCACACTTGCAATACTTTCGCTATTTTGTGCATGAAGTTAAGTGTGTGATCATTTTCCACAGACAGTGAAGTTCCTAACTAACTAGCTAAAATAGTGCCTGAGAAAAAAAAAGAGAAAAGTTATCACATTATAATTGACAGATGCTTCAGCAAGTTCAGTATTGTGCACATTTACGCCAACGCGGTGAGATAACTGAATGTTATGTTTAATTAAAGCTGCTCTGTGCCTGAAAATTTCACGACATGTTTATGTCATAAGTGAAAAAGCGAAGCAGCTCACGTGTTTTTTAATCAGACATTAAAAACACATTCATCTGCAATTTTCACACTCCTGTGAAATTGGCTTCTGGCTGGGGTTGCTCTGAGAGCTAATGATGCTATAATTTTCCACAATGAGAGCCTCATGACCCACGTTTTAGTGGAGAAGATGTGGTCAAGAGCACTGGAAAGTGCTGACAACAACGTTGTTTTATATTGTCTGGCCAACCTGCAGGTCTTTGCCGTAATGGTCACTGGCTGGTGGGGATTTAAGATCTCATTTTACTTTCAAATAGTGGTGAATAGTACAGAAAACTACACGGTTTCTTTTTTCAGAAATCAATGTGGTCTACATGAAGGTGTTTGTGAAGAAGCAGTGTGTGTGTGTGTGTGTGTGTGTGTGTGTGTGTGTGTGTGCAGGGCTATTGATGAACTGCCAGTCACTGAGAGAAACTCTGCCATCCTCTGTGATCACGTCTGCTCTGCTCCTCTCTGTTGTTGTGAGCACCGACTCACATAAAAATGGGACTCATCATCCTCCATCCAGAATATCACAAACCTCACTAATACAGTCACATGCGCTTCTTCTCTTTTCCCCCTCTCGATATCCTGTTTCCTTTTGGTCATTTTGTCACTTTCTGCATCACAGTAACACTCTATCTCTCTGTCTCTTTCTCACTTTCCCTCACCCAGCAGCCCCGGGGTCTGTCTCTCCTTTCTTGGGTCGCTTTTTTTTTTTTTTTCTCACATCTTACGTAAGTCGAGTCTATTTCTCCTGTCCTCTGTAGACTCTCCTCTGACAGTTATGAAACAGCACAGGGGGATTTCAGAGGAGGAAGAAGGACTCAAAACTCCACTCTCTTCATTATGGCTCATCTACTGGGGAATTAAAGAGAAAATGGAGAGCAGAGGCTCCCTTGAAATGAACACCTCCAGGAGGACTGTCTGTCTGTGTGGCATGTAGGAAGGCAGCCAGCCCGAGCTCACGACTGCTGACGGCACAAAAGAAGCTAAGGGTTAAATGAATCATTTGGCAGTAGGAGTAGAGACAATGAGCATGTTACTAAGAGAGGAGATTTTTTTTTTTCTGCTTTGCTTTGCCCAGGAGCTGCTGTATGAAATGCCACTTGAAGGTCAAGTCCATCGATAGAAGAAATGATTTAAAGCCAGGAATAATCTTTGTTGTTTTCGGTATGAATGGCCTCTTTGATATCACTTACAGCTGTTGGATCAGAGGTGCCGATTGTGTGTAGAAAAGATGACATTTCGTCTCAGCTGGTTTTACCTTGCCAAAGCTGCCTTTGCCAAGCACCATGAGGAAGTTGAAGTCGAGGATGCCCACTTTGACTTTGCTGGGGCCTGGGGTGTGGACCGGTGGACAGGGTGGGACAGGGGTCGGGGAGAGAACAGCAGGAAACGGTTCAGACAGTGGCGCAGGTATTGCTGGAGGCAGAGAGGGTGTTGCATCGTCTGGCTGAGGCTCCTAGAGAATGATAGTGGGAGGGTAGAAAATTGAATGGTTGGCATGCCGTCCAGAGCTCGCGCACACACACACACGCACTCACACTCACACACACACACACACACACACACACACACACACACACACACACACACACACACAGGAAACATAAACATCAGACAAACCAAACTCCTTTCTACCCCTAGATTGGGAATACAGTCAGGCAGAACAATCCTGCACCCTGGTGGAGACACGGTGTAAAGGAGAAAGGAGTAATTCAATATAATTTATTATCTAATTATTGACCTACAACACTGGGCATAAATCCTCCAAGGTTTTTTCTCAGACAGAATTGTAAGCAGAGGGACAGTTCAAGATCCTGACCCAGTGAGAGCAGTGGCAGCTGTTGTTTATTAGATGAAAGTAATTATAAGCTGATAAAGGCAATGCCAAGGCCTTCAGGTAAATGATCATTAGCATGATAAAAAATGAAGGGCTACTCCAGTCTCTGGAGAATACAGGTATAAATATCCCCCACTGTTGCTCTTTGTTCCCCATGAGGATCAACTGATGTCTGAAGTGGAGCGTATTGCTTCCTACCTGAAGGTCTGGGTCTGGCACGGGGATGTTGTAGTACTCTCCCTCATCCTGGGCCAGCAGTTTGAACCAGCCACAGATCGGACGCCTGAAGATCTCGCTCACTCCGAATGATAGCGCGCCCATGAAATCGTTCCTGGACGTGCGGTCCCAGTCCCATACCTCCACAGACAGACGTCTGTCCCACTGGTGACCACGCACTGAGCTGGAGAGACAAACATAAAAACTAAAGATCAATGGGGAGGGTTTGCTCAGTGTGGGCACACAACAATACACAGTGCCACAAACAGAAAATGACTGTTTGCCTTGTAGAGTGTGTTCTTCTTTATGACATTTTCCAGATTTTAAAGGCTTTTTAAAAATATTTTAATTCTACTGAATATCAGGAAAATGTAAACAGAAAGGTAATAAAGAAGAGAAAACTTGATGTACAATAAACTGCATAAATCCAGGTGTCATCAGCCTTATAATCTGCACTCTGCTCTTATATTTCATCCTCTGATCTTCATCCTTTGGGGTAATTTTGGATCCAGCAATCTCAGTTTCTGGGACATTTCCTTTTACCTAAAGCACATTTTTTTTCCAGACCCCTTTGCTCAGATTTGCCCAAATTTTCCACCTTGGATCAAAAATCACATTGACTCACAAGGTGAAACTCTCGTTCCAGATGGGATTCAGTGTGGAGCGGATGGTCTTGGTCTTCTGTTTGCTGTGGCTCTTCGGGTCTGGAATCAATTTCAGTTTAACGTACGGGTCTGACAGGCCGTTAGGATCCATGGGCATCAGGTTACGAGCCTCCCCCACTGGAGAGAAAGTGGGGTAATAGGAAGTGTAAACACAGACGCTTCATTTGTAAGTGTAATCCTTCTTTTTGTTTGAAACTTTCTTGAATCCAGCAGGTCCTCCCACCTGTGACGTAGACGTCCTCCTTCTCTCCTCTGACAGTCAGGTGGATTCTTCCTCTCTTTTCTGTGTGGTCCTGGCCGCAGAGACTGGGAACACTGGTCTCACACCGTCGATGGACGTTCATGTCACAACCTCACCGAACGACAACACACGAAAAGCAACAAACACATGCATATATGCCAAAAACAGAAATTAGAACTCAAACTTTAAATGTAAAGTAAAAAGAGCAAATTCAAAAATTTGTGCTGTAAAAAAAAAAAAAAAAAAAAATCTGTACACACGCTTTGACTCCCAGGACAATTAACCCACTACATACCTAACCCCGAAACTAATCCTAATCTTAAAGGAACAGTTCAACATTTCTTCCTTGTCCAGGGTTTGATAAGAAGATTGACACCACTGTCATGTTCCTTCAGTAATTACTATACAGCCAGCAGTTAGTATAGCTATTAGCCTAGCTCTGTCCGATGCTAACAAGATTTACCAAGATTTACATGTTACACTTTTATATGTGGTGAAACTCACAGGCACATTTCATGCCCTGGTGTATGAGGCCATACAGCAGCGAGCCACAGTGGTCGCAGAAGGTCGGACTGGAGTAAGTGTGGACCTTAAATGTGTGTCGACTCTTCAGGTCCTGAAATACAACAGAAACAATCTGCACTGAGAAACCACACACACACACACACACACACACACACTTACACACACCCATACAGAGTATGATTAGTGGAGAGATGTTGAGTGGGGTATTCATGGACAAGCCAATTAGATTTCTCCACTGGGAGAGGACATATAAATGAGAGTGCATCTCGGCAAGGCTGCGTGTGTGTGAGTGTGTTTGACTGTGTATATGCTGTGTAGAGAGGGATGAATCATTTTTATCTCTCTTCTGCTCATCAGACCCCCCCCCNCCCCCCCTCCCCCTCCAACCACCACTCTCAGTGCACCATCCTATCCCAAACTGTTTTCCCTCCCTTGTCGCTCTGAGGCGCTATTTAAAAACACCGTCACCCTGTTTCTCCTCTTTCCCTCTGTGTGTGTTCCTTTCACTCTCTCATCCTTTTTCACTCAAACACACACATGCACACACACATGCACACACACATGCACAAACAGTCACACACATGTTCCCCTTGACCTCATTTCTGAGGCAGTTTATTTGGCTGGCAGGAAAGAAAAAAAACGTGAAGAAAAGACAAATCTCCCTGAAATCCTCAAAATGCCACACAGAAGAAGACTGAGCAGTCTGCTGCTCTCTCCCCCCTCTAATTCCCCCTCTTATCAGTCCCTCCCACCCTCCACCTGCATCTCCCCCACTCTCTATCTCCAACTCCCTGCATCTCTGAGGCCTTGTAGGATGACATGACATGAGTACTGACGTCACAGATGGGACAAGGCTGCGTGATGTGAAGGATGTATGGATCGACAGATGAGTCACGCACACGTGTCACTGGTGACAAGCGGATGGCTAAATATGATGATGGCGGTGTAAATCTTGACTAAAATGGAAAACAAGAAAGTAAAAGTGAAAGCTCTGTGACATATATGCTGAAAAAATCTGCTCACATCTGGTCTGGGGGCCGCCACAGAACCAGGACAAGTGAAGGTCACAAACTCGTGACATCTTTTGTGGACCACAAAACTGCACACTAAAGAAAACATAAAGAAAAGCATCCTGAAGAATGAATCTGTCACACTGAAAAACTAATCTGAGAAGATTAAATACAGAAAAAAAAGACAACAACACCAGGTTTATCTCTACCTTGACATTGGAATCCCTGTTTGCCGATGCCCCTGAGTGAGAAAGGCACATGTATTAAGACACAAAAACAATCTTCTCTACTGCACTTTGAGGTGAAATATTTTTGCTTCTGAGACTGTTTCACAGCCAGGAGAGGACAGATAATGCTGCCAAGACAGAGATAGTGCTCTTGCATTATTCCATGCTGTATTAAGACCAACAGACATGCAGGCACAAGTTGAGAACAAACTCTATCTCATCAAAACACCACTGGCTGTGTTAGCGACTGCCACCTTGATAAACAAAGTCATTATGTGCGAACTCTGAGTGTCTTTCCTTTCTAAGCCACGCTGCTGACTAGGTCAAGTAGAGCAGTTTCAATTATTGTCACAGATACACACACACACACACACACACATACCCATAAACACAATTCTCCTGTTTCTAGAACTGCGGTGTTGGCTAGTTTCCAGTGTCTCCTTAGAGCTTTAATTGAATAATTAAAGTCATTGATTGACTAAAGAGTCCACTCAGCGGCTTGCTTGCTGTGAATCAAGTTTTGATTAGGAGGTTTAGAAAGGCAGATGAACAAGACACTGTCGAGAGCTCCTCCACAATCATACTGGAGAGGCCCAGGGGTTCATAGGAAACTGACCATAATCACTGATCTACAATCAGTTTACCATCTGGCTGAGTAATAATTAAAGATGAGGTTGGCGAGGATAATCTGATCCCTGATCAGCATTCAAGTCTCTGTCTGCAGCACTGAGCGTAGGAGGTCAGTTCTGGTTTTTGACCAGCAGAGAGCATTAGAGAGCCAGGTATGGGTTTGGAGAGAACTGACAGTGTTGCTTGCTGGCCGGATATCACAGGGAATTCAGTGAAGCGGATAACTGCATTTTAAATTTAATGATGCTTTGAAAAACCTCTCTGATACATGTAATTATACAAAGGGGTCGCCATAAAAAAACATCAGAATATGGCTGTAAAAATGACCAGAAAACCCCAAGAACATTCTGGATGATCTATTTTAGTGACAAATTACAAATCATAAATTGCATATGAAATAATACATGTGTATAAAAAAAAGAAAAGCTGGACCTTGCTTTTGTGATAGGCCTTTTTAACTGAGGACATGTTGACATGTCACAGTGGGAACATCATAGGTGCAAATTATAAAATGAATGATGGCTGAGTTACACTTCGCTGCTTCAGTTTCAGGGCCCTGGTGTTGTCTGTGCCGGCTCACTGTCACACTGTCATGACTTAGTGGGACACTTGAGTATAACGGAGCCGTCATTACTGTTGTTATAGGACATGTCTGCTGTGAAAGAGGCCTGTTGGATCTGTCCTCAGATCTGTTTGAATTGCATCACTGTATAATCTTATTCAGTGAGTTTTGAACTAATTACCCTTTAACGCAGCAGGTCATTATGTCCAACCACACATAAAATAAAACTGTGACACGAGGCAATTTGCCTAAACTATTTCACTCAGTTGATACTGAAGGAACCATACAAGGTACAACCTGTTATCTTTTAGATCCTGACTTAATAAACAAGATATTTATATTTCAAAATTAGAACAGTCGTTTCATAGTCTTTAATTAATCTACCGATCCCTGCAGGGTCTTTGACACCCAGGCTGAGAGCTGCTGCTCAGACATCCTGTGTGAAGGAAAAGAGTTTTCACCCTGAACTAAGTGCTGCAACTGCGGCCAAGACAGCAGCCAGTTGGAGAAATGTCCTGAAAGCTACCCAGAGGCTGCTGGCACATGCACCGCCCTGCATCCGACCTACACCCTCACCATATGTCCAAACACACACACACACACACACACACACACACACACACACACACACACACACACACACACACACACACACACACACACACACACACACTGACTCACATACACTGCCATGGCTCCACTGCGCTGAACAAGCTAACTGCATGGTTGTCTGTATGGAAGACACGTTTCTAAACAACCATTGATGTGCCTGCATGCCAGAGGTAGGAAATAAGAAAATGAATCACTCAACTACTGGACCTCAGTATATTTTTGAGACAGTAGTATCTTACATGATTACAGTATTTTTAATTTTTTCGGTTTTAGCTAAGGTTTACACTCCCTCCCGTCATGTTTTAGTGGAAATTCACCTGTGAATCAGATTAGGATTTGCAAAGAAAACATATTAATGCTGTCCTGTAAAAAACAATGCATCTCCAAAACATCAACTTTTCATGAGCTATGAAAACACTGCTGTCTTCGGCTTAATGACACTGCATTTTTTATGTAATCCAATGGATTCTTAAAATGGTTTACGCAGGTTAAGAGGTAGGAGAAAACAGTCAAAAGTGCCCATCACTAGATGACATTAGCAGATGTCTTGTTTTGGCCAACCAAATTTACTATAATGTAAACACAACCCCAAATGTTTGGGATTTTTGCATAAAAAATTACTTCAACAATCAATTATGAAAATAGTTCTTTTTTTTCACTCAATTAATAGACTAATCATTGCAACTCTATCAGTTCATTGGGAGATACATGTCTTTCACTGGCACAGGCATTAAAAATGTAACACTGCAAAACAGATTTTACACATGAAGTTCAGTTTCCTGTTTACGAGGAAAAGCTTCTGCTCAACCTGTAAAAACAGTTCTGTGATGTATTTTGTTGCTCTGGAGGAGTTCACCCAAGTCTGAGAAAAATTACCTCAATGACTTAAGATTTTTAACAGAGAGTCTGCATTATAAACACTTGGCTTGGGGTTTGAAAGAAGTGGCTGTTGGTAGACAATACTAGAGACTTAACGTCAGAATATCTCAGCCTCCGCTACATTGAGTTTGACCATTCTTTGCTTTAATCTAATCTGTCCCCTGTAAGTGACATGCTAAATTGGAGGAGTTCCCCTTTAAGGTCTGAATAATTACTCCACCATGGCTGCCTGTGTGTGTGTGTGTGTGTGTGTGTGTGTTTGCATGTGCTCTAACTCTGTGTGAACAGTATCTCAGTATCTCCTAATTAAATTCTTGCTAGTGTGTGTCTGCATGTGTGCGAGCCATGGAGCTCCTAAAGTGATTCCTGTATTGTGTGGGCTGCAGTGAGTGTGGAGGTGAGGTTATGTGAACAGATCAGGTCAGTGTGGTGGCTACAGAGTGTGGGCTGTTTCTCCAGCAGGCAGCTGGATCTGGTGAAAGAGAGAAAGAAGTGCAGAGAAAGTCAGAGTCAGATGGAGTAGTGGGATGCCTGAGGAGGCGGCTTATGAACTGCCGGGGTGGTTTCTGTGTAAACGTGTGTGTGTGTATGTGTGTGTGTGTGTGTGTGTGTGTGTGTGTGTGTGTGTTACCAGATGAAGTCGGTGCAGTGGCTGCAGAAGGTGGGCTGTTTGAAGAAGCGGGCCGTGAACTGATGATCTTTGACCTCGACAATCCTCTTGTGTTTGAGCGCTCCCTTCCTCTGGAACACGGGCACCCTGGGTGGAGGGGAGAGGGGCGAGGGCAAAGGGGAGGCACCGGGGGAGGTTGCTGATGTAGGGGAGGCCAGTGTCAACGGGGAGAGAGATGGGGTAGGGGAGACCGGGGTAGACATGATGCCTGGAGGATATGGTCGAAAGAGGGGAGGAGGGAGGTAGAGAGGAAGGGAATGGATGATGAGTGTCAGTAAGGAGGTACAGAGTTGTGCAGGCAAAAGACCTTGAACATGGGAGAGGGAGGAGGAGATATAGCAAGGACAGGGAGGAGGAGCAGGGGGAGGAGGGATGGAAAGTGTAATGGGTCACGGCAGAGACAGGAGTTGTATTAATGGCACATGGGATGTAGGGTAGGGAGCAGTGAAGGAGTGACGTGATGGAGAGAAAGATCGAGAACAGAAGAACGGCCCGGAAGTACAGAGGAGGATGGAGCGAGCAGGTATGAGAGTGAAAGAGGAAAGAGAGGTGTAATGAAGGAGACAGGGAGGTTAATTCACATACGGAGGCAAAACTCTCCTAAGAGACTCTGAGTCGCTGAACGATTAGTGCAACTCACTGTGTCCCACATACCGCCTGTCCATTCTACCGACATCTCCCTCTCTCTGCACCCCCTATATCGCTATCTCCCTGGCAGCTATGACTAACCCCCCACCACCCACCCCAACTCCCCAGCCCCTCGTCGTCATGTCAACTGGACCTCCTTTTGCCATGTCAACAATGCCCCCACCACCTGCTCCAATATTAGAGCCCGTATCCTCTCCCGACTTCCTGCCTGCCCTTATTAGCAATTAGTCCCATTTCTGAAGAAAAGTTTGGACCAGAATAAAATGTATACGTCTACAGGGAACACAATGTGCTGGAGAAAAGTGCAAAACGACAAATATTAGCTGCTAAGATTCCGGTGCAAGAGTTGCACACCACTAAATGATAAATGAAACACCAACAGAGATTTAATGAATAAATAAATAAGCCCAAAGCAAAAACCCATGCCAGAAAAAAAAATGTGATGAAATGATGGTGTCTCAGCAAAGAAGCAGGAGCAAATCAATCAAAAGGGTGAAAGAGAAGAATGTTGGAGAAAATGGCACAGTGCTTAGAAATTAGCAAAATAATGACAAGAAGAAAAATACATTCTAAAAATGTGCGGAGACCTCCACAGCGAAGACAGAAAAAGACACAATACCTGAATTTGTGGTGATTTTGGAGGAAAGGCTCGACTGAAGGACAGCTTTCTTCTCTTCCTCTCCCCCTTTCGTCTCTTCGTCTGGCTCACTTCAAAGGAAAGGCTAAGGTGTCACACCTGTAGCTTGTAACCTCAAAAAAAAGGGGGGGGGGAAGATAGATAGAAAAGACAGAAAAACCCAGAGAGGCTGTGCTGTGGGAAGTGGACAAGAATCAGCCAAAATAAAAAAAATAAAAAATAAAGAAAAATCAAGTAAAATAAGAAGAGAAAGCAACAAGCGTTTCGAGAGACTCAAGCTTTCTAGGAACCAAAGATAGAAGAGTGAGGTGGTATGTATCCGTTAACCCAGAGGCAGGGTGAGGAGGAGGACGAGATAGAGAGATGGTATTCTCTTTCCAAGATTGATTGATTCTGTTTTTACTAAGAAGAGGACAAGAGAAGGAGAGAGAGAGAGAGAGAGAGAGAGAGAGAGAGAGAGAGAGAGAGAGAGAGAGAGAGAGAGAGAGAGGAAAAAGATTGAGGGGAATAGGCGGCGATTCATTTTGAAATCTGGGTTACTTCTCTCAGAGGAGAGGGTGAGGGAGGTACAGGAAGGAGGACGGATGAGACAGAAGCTGCCATTTTGCCACCACCAATACAGTACAGACAAGCAAGAGCCAACTGTCTCTCACTTCCTCTCGTGCCAGACAGAGTGAGGAAAGGGAGAGGAGAGAGAGGGTCCAGTCTGGAAGAAAAGAGCAGAGACCTTCAGTGGCGGAGGCTCCAAGAGATGGCTAGTTAAGCACAGCTACAAGTGGAAACAAACTGTTAAAAGTCACGGAGTCTGCAGCAGATCAAGATGACTGAAGGATCAACAGGCCCGGGGAATAAACAACCCCCGTTAATCTATTTTGCAACAGAGCAGTTACAGGATGTTCACTGCGTTTAACATTTGCTCAGAGATCAGAGCCAGTGGTGGTATGATAACATTGCTCCACTGTGCACTGAAACCAGGTCATCTCAGTCTGATGGGAAGAGTATAGTTTTGAAGAGAGAGGGGCTGTTTGTCCATTTATTGCCCACATACCGTCACACACACACACACACACACACACACAGACACAGACACACACACACAGACACACACATATACATATACATATATATATATACATATACATATATATATACACACTTGTTTTGTCACCCAGGAGGACATTGCATTGACTTACACTCTGCACTGAACTGCAAACCAAAAATTGACACCACTCTTATGTCTGTACAGTGAATATGTAGCTAGTGCTAGCAGCTGGTTAGCCAAGCTTAGCATTACGACTGGACACAGGGTGTGACAGCTAGCCTGGCTCAGTCCAAAGGTAACAGATCCACCTAGAAGCCCCCCTACCCCCACAGATTAACACACCTGGGCTACTGTAATGTGTTAATTAGTGATCTTTAGAGATGCTGGCAGGTGGATTTTTTTGCCTTCAGTTAGCAAGAGTAGCTGTTTCTCCTTGTTTACAGGCTTTATGCTAAATTAAGCTAACAAGATTCTGGCTCCAGCTTCATATTGAGCGTACAGACATGACACTGTCGTCAATCTCATCTCACTCTCGGCAAGAATTTCCCCAAAATGTCAAATTATTCCTTTAATCCATCTTTTTGTTCCCAAATGTAATCCTTATTAAGTGAATGCGTTAACAAATGTTTGTCCTCGCAATGTGACTAATACAAGTGTTCATACACACACACACACGCACAATTAATCACACTCCATGTGTGCATGTAGTCTCTGGACAACCCTGGGAGAGAGCGCATCAGGCAGGAGCAGAGATGCAAGCAGGCAGGGGACGAAGGGGTGGATTGGAGTGGGACGGAGAGACTGAGAGAGGGAGCGAAGGGTTGAAGGTCTAATTAATGGAAATGTAGGTTATTAGTCTCCTGATGAGGACACTGGCAGAGAATTAATTAACAATTATAATTAGCAAGATTGTTAGAGAGCAAAATGGTGTCAGCCTGCAAGATAAGAGTGAGCTAGCGTGCATAAGTGTGTGTGTGTGTGTGTTTGACTGAAGCTGTCATCATTGTGTGTGCGTGTGTGTGTGTGTCTTCATTTAAGAAAAAAAAAAAAAGCTGTGTGAACAAGCCCTATCTGACAATGATATATGTCATTTCAGCATTAGTCATGCAGAACCAGCAGCTGATTGGAAATGATAGGGGGCTTTCTCTCCCACCAACCATCGCTAGACCTTTCTCTATAGAACTGCCATTAATGTCTTCATTTTATGGCCCATAAGACTCGCTCTTCATCGGTCTTATCTCAGATGAGTCATGTTCTTGTTCTGTTGTCACAAATAAATGAAGAAGATGCCCTCGCATAGTGAAAGAAACAGAAAGAGAGAGAGAGGGAGGGAGGTGTTAAAAAATACGAGCTGTAGACATGCACTCCACAGTAATCAGTGCATTGAAAACCAAAGCACATAAATGGCTCACAATGCTTGCCCTCCATGCAGTGTGATGAGTAAGCACTTGTGGCTCTAACGCGTCTGTATCAGAGTGCGTTTGCATGCCTATCGGAGCATGCTTTACAGTGTTTGATCCCGGGCCATAAAAGTGGGCTGGTGTGCAGCCAGCCAGTGATACATTAAGGCTATAAACCAAGAAGACGTGTACACACACACACACACACACACACACACACACACACACGCACACACACACACACACACACACACACACACACACACACACACACACACACACAGCGGTATGAAAAACACACCGATACGGTTTGGATGATTAACAACTGAGGGAAAATGCCATAAAACACGAACAGAGGTGAAGATAAAACTTAATGTACAGATGACATTTGACAAGAGAAAAATGAGGATTGATCAATGAAGAGGACATCCCCAAAACCACAACCTGTCTCTCACTTATTGCCATCTTTACAAAAATCATTATTATATAACAGCACTGGGAGCTGTTGCTACCATTTGAGATCATGAGCACTTTCCATACACCAGCCCCCCTTCTCTTCCTCTCTCAGTCTACAGATGGCTATCTTATTATTTCTGACCATGGCTTAATGAAACAGAAAATTCTCCTCTGATGGAATCTTTTTTGGGGGAGCAATCAGCACTTCACCAATTACACGCATCCATTATCGTCTAACGAGTGCTCACTTGCATCAAGCACCGGCTTCAACCTGGCTGGCTGGCTGGTTGGTCGGCTGGCTGGCTGGCTGGCTTTTTCTTCCAATGAAATTAAGGTAAATTGACTTGCCTAACTGTTGTTTGTGGAATCAGGGGAGAAGTGGTGTCTGAGGTAATCATATCTGCCTGTTAAATTTGTCTCTTCAGAACCAGTTGGCTCTGTTTGCTTGCATTGGATTTCTGTTGGGGTATGCTTCTATTTGCTTTTTTAATGAAGAGTGGTCCGCTGTGTTTTTGGAAGAGTGCAACAAACCTCCACGCCAGTCAGATGAGACATTTGGCAGGCGATTAGGGCCCGTCAACATGGCCTACAAACTCTCAGTGCTGAAGCAAATAAATCTGCTCTCCATATTTATTTTACTGCTGACCTGCGTCTCATTGCAACAACAAATAGAGCTAAAACGGAAAGCCATGCAGACAGACGAGAGACCATTGTGTAAATTAAATCACATTTATAGGATTAAGTCATGGATTTTGGCTTGCGGATGGCTTGCACCACAAACATCTCGGGGGGGGGGGGGCTGAGGCCTGAGAATCGGAAGACTAGATGTCATATAACTTACTAACTGGATATGATGTCTTTTCTTTATTACCACTGTCATCCAGTATGTTGCTCTGGTACACTCTCACTATGGTTTCAAACTGTATTTATTTATATACTGTACAGTATGTGGAAGAAATAAGAATTGTACATCCTGTTCCTTGTACAACCTGGCAATATTACGTGAAAGGATATGACTCAGAAAATGTTTTCAGTCTATGTGCAGCGTAAACGAGCTGTGAACACAACACTAACATATTATCACCTTTTATCTCTAACTATGATGAACTTGTTTGAGCAAATAGATGCTTATTTAGACATCCAACATAAACAGAGGACAATTGGCATTTATTTGGAGCCATGTTTCTGGTCACCTAATGAATTTAAGTCCAATATTATAATATGGAAATGTTTTCTGTTATCATCTAAATGCTCCACTATGTTCACCAGTTAGTTGTTAACTTTACAAGTTTTTAGGGCAGAGACACTAAAGCACTCCAGTGATCTGAGGGAGAGTCAGGTGATAGTGACCTCTGCCAAGGAGGTTATGTTTTCACCCTCGTCTGTTTGTTTGTTTGTTTGTCAGCAGGATTACACAAACAAGTACTGAACCGATTTGCACCAAAGTTGGTGCAGGGATGGGACACGGGCCAGAGAAGAACCCATTAAATTTTGGGGCAGATCCAGATCATTCACTATGAATTAAATTTTTTTTCTCTGAAGTCTGGTGGATGCTGTTTGACATTGGCCTTGGCAGAGGTCTGTGCTCTCTGAGTGCCCTTCTAGTTCTCTGTACATTCAACTCCTTTCACCTACAGTATGGAGTCATGTAATTTTTTTGCAATATTTTTATTAACATAAAAATGTTGATTAGAATTATTTTAAAAAAAGACAAGTACTGCATCCATACTTCCTTCTTTCATATATTTTCCTAATCAAATAACAACAGAATTTAGTGTTATCTATCCTTTCATATTTTTTATTTAATAAATTTAAAACATGTGTTTGGCAGATGATGTCTTCACTGGGTGGAGGTTGAGTTTGTGGCGCTCAGTATAATGGGTTTGGGAGCGTTGCCAAGCCGATAGATCATCTACTAACATGAGCAAAACAGGCATGCGAGCCCAAGCATATTACTATTCACAGTATGTGCAAAATACTAACAAGAACTCAAAGCCTCGGCTGTGGGCTGCAAAACCTTTCTTACTGCTGCAGGGAGGAAGAGAAGGTTGTGAACAAAATGTGCTCAAGGGGACAGATGAAAGCAGGAGGGCAGGAGATTCAGGG